CGCGCGACCGCGTCTGGAGAAGCAGACTTCGTCGCCGTTTGCTCGTTTGCCTCGCACCGTCATCGAGCAGTAAGTGCACCTCCGTCCCAGAGCCGGTGCATCGCGCGAGCGACAATCATGTGATTGATGATATCTGCTGCCTGTGCTCGGAAGGATCTTTGATTTAACTGGCGCCTTAGTATTCTATATGTTGCAGATGCCAACACATTTGCGTCGTTAACTCTGCTGAACCGGAAATGGCGACGCATATCGGACTCAACCCTTTTGTATGCGCATCATCTCTCCCAGTGCCCGTCCTTTGCCTTGACGCAGAAGGCTACTGAGCAGCCCGCTCACTCAAGCGATCTCACACTGCTCAAGCGGCAGTTCGGCGCGCAGGTCAGGCGGAATACATTCAATGCGTTTCTCCGGCCCCGCAGGACTCTCATCAAGCTTACCTCGACTTCTATGAGCTCTTCGACGGCCTTTCCACATGGTGAAGCATTCCGCTTTTCTTTCTCTCCTAATGCACAGCTTATCCTGTGCATCAGCTCTTCCAGAATTGTGGTACTTGATGTAACCTCGGATCGGGCGGTCGTGAAACATGAGCTCAAGACTTGGCGACGGCCTTTGAATGCTGCCATTGTAGATGATGGCTCCATTCTCGCTGTCGTTTCATCCACTCACCGGGTCAATATCTACCGTCTTACCGATGATGAAGCGAAGCACATTCAAGACTTGACATTGAACGATGTTCCTCGAACCTTAGCGCTCTCTCCGACAGGAGGAGTTCTTGCCATTGCGTACGATGATCGAATTGAAGTCTACGCCATCGGTGAAGGGGCACTGGCTACCGAACGAAGAGCCGTGCGCTGCTCCGGGGTTGACTCGGTGTCGTTCTCCTCTGATGGTGTCATGCTCCTAGGTACTTCCGCTGAGCGTGGTAACAGCGGTTTGGTCACCATAACAGTGCCGTTTTACACAGAATCAGAAACCGAGTATTCACCGAGGGATGCACAGATCCGTATGTGGACCACACAAATTCTGTTTCCAGACATAAACACTGGGTTTAGCCACGCCTGTTTGCTGCCCTGGCACGCAGAAGGTGAAGGCAACTGGCTACTGGGATTCGATGAACAGATAAACACGTTTCGAGCATTTGGGGTGCACAACACGAACTCGGGTACAACATATTTCGTGACTCCGATGTCTGAGGATGGGTCTCGAGAGACATCTCCCATCATGCTACCCACCGTTGACGATCTCGGGGAGCTGGCTGCTATAGGATTTGAGAGTTCTGGCTTATGGGTATATGGAATACCTGATCGTCTGGATATTGCCCCTGTAGCTCCCAACGCAAGAACATATGCTGAGATGGATGTTGAGCAGGGCCCTTCGATCGAGGAGGCGGCTACTGCCCGGGATAGTCTGTCCCGACTCCAGCAGTTCATTACAAAGCCCAAGGTTCTGATCAACGGCCACAAGATGACCGATATGGCTGGAATGACAGCAGCTCGCTGGGTACGCCATCCAAACTGTGTGGCTGGTCGTCGTAGATTGGTAGCCGTTGCTCCTGGTGGCATTAGCCCTCCAACTATTGGCGAAGAAGACGTACCGGTAGATGGCGGACGTGTGCTGCTGTTAGACCTGGAACGATCTGCCACGGACGGTGACTTAACTGAAGTCAACATCGAAGTCGGTGATGCGGAGCCGAAGCTTTTAAGTGAACCGAACTCTACCCTAGATACCGAGGTCGAGCTGGAGAGAAGAAGGACGCGGTTACATCGTGGGAATGCTGCTTCACCTCGGGCACGCGCATTTGCTCGAGAGTCCTATCCTTCAGCCAACTCGGTCGTCCACGCACCTCGGCAATATGCCCGCAGAAACAGCTCCTTCTTCTCGGGCTCCTCGAATAGTGAAATCCAGCACATTCCAGAATCACCATATGATAACACGCAGCCTCGATCTCGGGACACGTTGCGTCGTGCAGCCACGGCTGCGGCTAATGGTCGCGGACGCAACAACCCACGCTATCAAGACGAAGCGCGCCCTGTCCAAGGCCAAAGGCCAGCCACCCAGGTTTTTCAGGTTCCCCATGAGAGCGACGCAGACAATTGGGTTCCACCGCCACCTCCCTATTCTAGGGACCCCGACGCACCGCTTCCAGATTATCTCCGAAGGACCCTCCTTCCTTCGAATACGGAACCGGCCCGTAGAGTCGGTGATATTCCAGAAGGCATTCAGAGACCTCAGACAAGCCGTCTGGAACGGATGGTTGACGAATCTCCGTCCCGGAGCTCGCTGCAAAGATTGCATACCATTACTGGCTCACGGCTCGCCGCTCGCATGCGAAGGGGTGTGAGAGACTCCGAGTCCCCTGAACCGAACAGACGACATACCATGTTCTTTCGCAGAAGGAGCTCTGCCACAGGACCCCAACCTAACCTCCAGGGGCTTGATGGAGCGCACATGCCTGTGCCAGAGCAAGACCCTTCGGTCAACTTCCAGGGTCAACTGCACCCTGTCCTCAGTGGGTCTACACAGCTAAATCAATCGTCAGCCGTTCAACGAGCAAATTACCAGGACATTTTGCTTGAGGAGTCTTTGCTTGGCACTACAGACTGGCAGGAGGCTATGCCACCGACACAGAATGGGACTTTCAATCTGGACCATTACCCCTACTCCATCTCCTCGCCTAATCTTCAGGTCTCGACCTTTCAACATGATGCCCCAGAAGGTGTGCATGGGAGTCGACAGCGTTCCACCTACTACCGAGGAGCAGATCGGCGCTCTCAATCTCAGAATGTCCGACTCCCGTCTGGGGGAATTCCACCGCTGAACCGCCGGGCATCGACAGACCCCACGCTATCTACCAGTTCACAAGCGGCTGCACATGATCTGTGGCGGAGGCGCATTGAAGAGTGGAACGAGCAGACCATCTACGAGAGAAGTAAACGCAGAAGCAAATGTATAGTGATGTAGGAAAGTTGCCTTAGGATACGGGGGTTAGACTGTTTAGGCTCTTGGCTCTGGAAATTACTTGTTGTTACTTAGCTCATATACCCGAGTGGACATATATAGGCTTTGTAGAGCTGTGCATAATAATCTTCTCAAACACATCTTCACGACCTTGTGCAGCTTTTACTTTCTGTCTAGATCACGGGCAAGAAGAATTTATATCTTTACCACATCAATGCAACCAGGGAAGACACATAATTCTATGAAGCTTGAATCCTTTACTAATAGTAAAAGGACCTTGCATAAACACTACCGATAGACAGCGGAATTGGAACCACGACTCATTATGGTTTCTATAAATACCACAAAGCCATATTTGTCCAAAAGGAGGTTGTTGCCTTTCTGCGTCTCTCCTTCCACGCAAGGTCAAAGAAGAGTTTCCGTCCCGTGGTTTCCTGACCCCCTTTGTGCTCATCTTCTTTCCCTAACCGTGCAACGATTCCAGGAAGTATGCTTGTTTTGCTCTTCTCAATGTCTTTTTCTTCGACATCTTAAATATGCCGGCGTATGGCTTCTATCTGCATACATTAATCCTACGCTATTATCCTCCCTATCATTGAATTTGGTAGACTTACTCAGTAGCCACCATGCCCAACCCACACTCACGCTACAAACTTCGAGGAAGGAATCCCGTCGAGCAAGATGTCTTTGGAGGCTTGGATAAGTTCTTGAGAGAACAACGCAAGACTCCCCGGGTGAAAAAACCAGGAACAGACGGAGGAGCAGGGAAGTCACAAAAAGGTAAAGGGAAAAGAAAGCCACAGAAAGATAAACAAGAAGCCTCGCCAGGGCCATCAAGAACGAATTGGTTCAAAGCCAAGATCCACCTCAAATTCATCAGAGACGCCCAAGAAGAATCAGCTCAACAGCCCGAGGAAGCCTCAGCAGAAGGTGCCGCCAACAATCCTGATCATCATCGCTCCACTGAGAGCGAGAAGGATCTCAAACCTGGGGAGTCTCTCTCTGACACACATTTCTATTACCAGCGGACCGGATCTCGCAGGCCCGATCGCCGGTTTGTTGCCACTGTCGAGATAGATGAAGATGTGCCGGTGGATAAAATATTTGATTCCAGGTATCTGCCATCAGATGATGATACTGGTAAGTTAACTCTGCTGTGCTGGTAAGACAGAGCACTGATTGAGGTTGCGCGGTGTTTATAGAATTTCAGAGACTTGTGGATCTATGGCAAGACCCTGCAGTCGAAGATGCGCGCGAGATATCGGACTGGTCTGAGTTAGAAAAACTAGTAGATCCGAAAAAAGCCAGGTTTGCTCCCTTTTTCAGGGACGTTCATGACGACAGCTATCGTAAGAAAACAGCAAACACCTTATTTGACTATATGGCCTCGCTATTTGAGCAAGTACCAAGCCAAGGAGAAATGTGTGCCACCTTTTGACTTCCCAAATACTGTAGAGTCATGAAAAAGCTGACTATGTTCACCTACCCAGTGATTTCCGCCAGCATTGCTATGTTCCGTTGGCGCGCGAAGAATTGGGAACGCACCAGGGACTTTATTTTCGACACTACATTGGAAAAGGAAATCTCAACGTCTCTGGTGGTCAAGCAATTGGCATTCCTCTCGCTATTTGCACGGTGAGATATCTCCCCCTTGTAAGCCGGTACCTGAAGCTAAACAACCTGCAGTGCAAAATAAAGCTTGGACGAGTTGGCATCTCCCGGTCTGAGATCCCGGGACTTCTGTTCCAAGCCAACATGGCCTTCGAGTTCGAAAGTAATCACGAGCAATATCCTGCATATGTCGTCAGCGTGCGAGGTTGGAGATTTCGGTTCGTGAAAGGTATCATGACCCAGCAGGAAGTTGCCCGTTTCCAAGACAAGAAAAAGCGATCAGGGAGGATCAAGGTGCAGCAGACCGGGGATTACGATATTTATGACCGCAAGCAGCGCAAGGAGTTTATCAGAGTTATGCTAGGCTTGTTGCGATCATTCAAAGATCGACGCGAAGCAGACTTTTCTACTGAACTGCCCTAATCCGGTGGTGACGTACAACCAGTGATGGTGTATATGTGCGTGTGTGTACAGAATGCCGTTATCATTATATTGTGGAGCTATAGCTACTGAAGTTAAGACACTTGGACACATCTTGTTGATCATTGGTCTGATAGTTATAGTGTTATTAGGCCTGCACTGGGTACTTATGAGGTTTTATCTCTGTTCAACGGGGCCTCGGAAAGCAGACAGATTGCTTCACTTCCCACCAACACAATATGATCAATCATCACGCAAACATGAGCAGCAAACCAGCTCTACCGTTGAACTAAGCAGTAAGCACTAACACAACCGAGGAATAGCCTAAAGCCCATACAAGCATCGGATATGCATAAAAAGGAGTGAACAACGACGACAGCGTAGAAAACACACGCAAGCATGTCCGTTGTTTCAAACCACCAACTCCTCCATAAGAAGTGGTGAAACAATGGACATGATGTTGGGATAATTAGGTGGAACATGAGTGGTCGAATTCATACCAGTTATCCGGCCTAGTTCCTGGTCCGTCGGACGTCCGAGCTTCCGGCTGGCGTCGGATAGGCTGCTACGGTGATAGGGCCAAGGTGTGGGGCCAATTAGATTATTATAGTGTATGAGCATTCTGGAGACAAATGATAGCCATGCCATCGTTCCTTTCAACTTCTCCTTTTCGAATGAAAGTGAGCAAGTATTTTCACTGTTCCTGCTATACTATAACAACATTAAGGACAGGCGTATAGTTAGGGTTGGAAACAGGGACTCGGGATTACCTAACAAAAAGGGTTCAGGTGGGGCGGATCCTCCGATGGCCCGTGGTGACTAAGGCGCCACCGTTGCGCCCTTGCTATCATCACGTGCTTTTTTTTCTTTCGGGCGAGACCACGTGAGAGCGAGATCGGACAGCTTCTCCTCGCTCGCAGTCCGTTTCCCCCGCGCTGGATTGATTCCATCCCAATCTCAGTAAGAAAGGGTCTGGATCCCTCCATTCGTCTCCTCCTCGAAAGGATCTGCACGCACAAACAGCGCCCCTTGACATAACCTCACCTATTTTGGTGTAATTTGTTTTACACTTCTCCGACTCTCTCTTTCCGGAGTTCTTTTTCCCTCACGTGGGCAAAAGGCTCGTGCCCAGCCAATTTCCCCGGCAGACCCCCGAATATTCTTTTCTTTTTCTTATTTGGTGTTATAATACCACATCCTATTTCGGCCCTCTTACTCCCTTTTCTACTATCAGCCTGGAGTCTTCCGAACGATCGCCCAGCGGAATCGGAGGCAGGGGCCTGCAGGGTGCCATCCTGGAGCCACTCGCAGGAGAGAATGCTTCTGCTGCCCCCAGTCCCGTAATGGGAGGTGCCAGCCATCCATCTGTCTCCCCTGCTGTTGGGTCTGATGCTGCGGGTCCAGCCAGGAAGCGCACCACCACCATGGCGGGGTTGGACAGCTCCCCGGGCAGTATTGATGATATTGACGGGCAGGACAATCAGGAGGAGAAGAAGAGACAGCCCGTGAAACGGGCCTGTAATGAATGTCGTCAACAAAAGGTAAGCTCACGCCACTTAGGGTTTCTTGTCTTCCGAGACATGTGCCTTATCTGGATCGTCGTTAACCTTCTTCATTTCATACAGCTCCGATGCGATGTAATTCAAGACCCGTGGACGGATTGCTCTCGATGTCGTCGTCTGAAGCTCGACTGTAAAATCGAATCCAACTTCAAACGGGTTGGGAAACGCAGTCGCAACGCCGAGATGGAACGTGAGATCATCGAGCTGAGAAAGCAGATCGCTACTGTGCAGGCTGGGGCTATGCCTCCGTCGCAGTCGGCGTCTTTGCCACCGGTTCAGACGCCCAAGCAAGAAACGGCCAGTCAGGTCGGCTCGGGAGTCTACCATACGCCGTCGGCCATGTCTACGGATCAGTACATGGGTTCTCATGAAGCTGTTGCGTCGCTTCTGGATTTGCGCTCCGGCTTTGATGGCACGAACTTTATGAGGAACGGCAATCATCACTTCAAGCGCATTGAAGATGTCGCGGTCGTTCCGGAGAGGGTGACGGAGCTGTTTCATCTGTAAGGCTTGAGCAGACTGTACTGTTCACAGGTCAATGCTAATGCTGTTAGGTTTTTCACCTTCTACCATCCGTTTCTACCGTTCCTTGATCGAGACCAGTCGCCGGATGATTACTACAGCGCATCGCCACTGCTGTTCTGGACCATCATCAGTGTAGGCGCGCGGCGCTTCCAAGCCGACACCCACCTTCTCAATTCCCTCTCAGGCCCGGTTTCGCGACTGGTGTGGAGTACGCTGGCGGACATCCCACAAAGCTACCACGTCGTGAAGGCTCTCTGCTTGCTCTGTACTTGGCCTTTCCCTACCAGCAGCACGTCCACCGATCCGACCTTTATGCTATGCGGTATGATGATTCAAGTGGCAATGCAGCTGGGGCTGCACCGTCCATCTCACACGCAGGACTTTAGCAAATTCCGCGTGGAGCTCATTGAAGAGGAACTTCGAGACAAGGTGCGGACGTGGGCAGTCTGCAACATTGTCGCCCAACGGTATGTGGTTTCATCGTCATCGAGTTCGATCCTTTACTGACCGCGATGTAGGGTTGCTACTGGTTATGGCCAGCCTCCGTCTAGTGTGTACGACTGGACACTGTCTTCAAATGACTCGATGGACCCCAACTTCAGGTTGCCCGACGACATTAGGTCAAGGCTGGAGATTGAAAAGTTTTGCGACAAGGTCACCAAATCTTTATACACCAACCGGCGGGACCCCGTCGGACTTTGCAGCGATCAGGAGCGATCAACGTTGATCTCGTTCCTGTCGCGGGATTTCGATGAATTGGAGAATCAGCTGAAGGCGCACAACGACTGTACGTTCTTTTTTTCTTAGGAATTCTGATGCTATCAAGACGGTCTAACTGTTGCAGGTATCACTAATCTCTATTTGCGCGCATCGAATCTGCACCTCCATCTGTCTGCGTTCTTCGACGACACAACTGCAAAGGATTATAGAGAGCGTCTTCTCTCGCTTTATGTCGCCACCACGACGTTCCTCGAAGCCGCGATGAACTTGGAAACAGAAGTCGGCCCGGTGCTGTCGTACACTCCGTACTACGTATATCAGATGATGGTTGCGGGCGGATGTACTCTGCTGAAGCTATGCAAGAGTTTCTTCGCCGCGCATATCGACATGGATTATGCAAAGAATCTATTTAATCGGACGATCTGGGCCATTCGACGCGTGTCTGTTTCCAGCAACGACCTGCCGGAGCGACTGGCGGAAGTAGTAGCGCAGATGTGGCGGCTGAACAACGTGCCCACACCGAAATTGACGGCAGACGGCGGAGAGGTCGACGATTCGCTGATGCTCAAGGTGCGCTGCCGAATGAGCATGTCCTTGCTTTTTGACTCGGTCTGGCGGTGGCGGGAAGACGCGCGGACCAAGGGGCGTAATCTCGAAGGTATGCACGCATGCAGACAAACCAACGTATCTATCAGACTGACAATTAGTGCAGCATATCTCAAAAACCCAACCAATCCAGACTCCAACGCCGAATCCTCCAACTCGTCATCTGTTCAACCGACGCGCACCTCGACCGCGACACCCGGAGTCGCCGGCGCCGCAGACCCCAGCCTTGCGCCAGCCCCCATGCTCCCCCAGGCTAACATGGGCGTGACCGCACCGAGCGCTGTGGGTGCCCTTCCCAGCGGATTTATGGAACCTAATTACGAAGTATTCGATCCGCTGAACTGGCTTCTGGACGGACTGGTCGATTTGCCGTATTCATACTCGACGATATCGGGGATCGAGTCTCAGGGTATTGCATGAGCAGAATAAATCTGTTTGTTCGACGACTGACATGGCACATAACTTTTCTACACTATTTTACATATATTTGACGACTTTTTGATGTTTATTGTTGATTGATTGATTGATGTACCATATTATTATACCAGCGAGATGATTGGATTGATGTCCGACACACGCACCCACCCACACACAATCCCCCGACAACCCTTACGTTATGGAGTCGGACTGGAGCGAGGAGTTGGCGATTTGCTTTGTTTTGCTAGCTTTATTCCATGCTAGGGTTGGATTTCTGTTTTGTGCTATTTTCTTTCGTTCAGATGATACCATGTATCGATAGTTGGATGCGATGCATATAGTGCAATAGATGTATCTACATGATTTTTTTACTCAAAAAGATAAGATTCTGGAAAGTTGAGATATAGTTTGGATGTACCATATTATCTATTTAATCTAAGGTATACTGTATGTAGATTATAATACGGTTATAGTTACGGTTGGTTATCTTAGTCTCAAATCTAAGTCTAGTAGCTTACCAAGTTCTTAAAAACCATGGAAAGATATCACGTGGCCGGCGTATTCCAACATCTAACTACTCCGTTACTTCATCTCCATTCAAAACTACATAGATAACATTTATCTATCTATCTATAACCACCTATAAACTATATCATTATCCCATAACCCACAACCTCTTCACTCCTACAAGAAATAATACTATATCAACAATGACAGAATACACAACCACCCGCCCTACAAAATCCCTCCTTATTCCCAAGAAACGGCCCCTCAAGACTTCATCCACAACCATTTCCAAGAACTATTCTACAGAGAAATATACACCGAGTCTATATTTCACATCTTCATCTTCATCTACAGAGCAAAACCCTAAATCCAAATCCACGGATAATGATAACGATAAGGAAGCGAGAGCTACAACAACAACAACAGAGTTTAATTTCTCCCTCCCGCCGCAGCCATTTCTGGATCCGGGGTGTTGGGAGAGGATTCGTTCAGTATATTCTTTTTCTTCTTCGAGGTTAGGTGGTGAGAGTAGAAGTGGAAGTGGGAGTGGAAGTGTCATGCAGTTGAATGAGAAGGAGAAAGAGGAAGAGAGAAGACGGAGGAGGGTGAGGGAGGCGGAGTATGGGGGGATGGCTGTTCGGGGGAGGATCAAATGATTCATCCTTTTCTTTTTCTTTGATCGTTCTCTTTATGTATTCGTTGTGGGTCGGTTTACTATAGTGTATGGAGTTGTGGGTACTCATTACTGTGGATACATCTATGTGGTATGTATGATATTTCTCATTGATTTAGGTAAGTAAGATTGGTGGCATCGTGTATGTAGTTGCATAAATCATCAGTAAGTAAGGTGTGGTATGGTATCTTCATCATCATGAATGGACTGGGACCATCCAGTTTTCAAATCAAGAGCAAAAGAACCCAAAACATAACAATAACAGACAGTACAGAATGCATGACTAGTTCCAAACATATGCAAAATTCATCATCATATCGTCGTTGACGCCATCAATCATAGCATAGCATATAGCACAGTCTAAATAACGATAAAGAGAAACATCATGGTCATTCAATCACTGCTGATAGCATCATTCTGGTATTCTCAGCTGCGTGCTCGACTCCATCAGGACCGCCCCGCTGATACTCTGCTTGAGTTTCTCGCGTTTGGCTTCCCGACGGTGTTCCGCATGTCGCTGCCATGTGCGTCTCACGCGTTTGCGGATGTTGCGGACCTTATTCGTTCGGAAGCGAAGCCGCCACCATGACAAGGATCGGAACCGCTGGTGGTGGAGCGATGTCTGTGAGCAAAACGCCTCGGGGCTGAAGACTTGGCTACCTACGAGCGTGCTGCGGTTGGCGAGGTGTCGACTGGCTTGTTCGGGCCGCCGTCTGGCACCCGGGCTGCGAAGCGCAGGACCCTCAAACACAACGCGCTGCTGTGGCATGCCTAGCGAGTTCTTGATCACTAGGTCCGAAGCCTCGGGGTTTGCAATGGGCGAGTGAGGAGCCTCGCGAGGCGACTCCTCCTCTGGTTCCGAGTCTTCCCAGAACCGACGAGGCCGCCAGAAAGGTTGCTGTCGCCCATCGATGTCCTTACCGGCCTTGCGGTTCTTCACCGACGTCAGTGACAATGAGCGGACGAATGAATTGAAAGAGTCAGACCGAGGACGTACCAGCCACGGACGGCGGCCCGGGCCAAACCGACGGCCCCGGCCCTTACTTGGCTCGTTGGTGTAACCTGCCCCGCCCGGCTGACGGTCGGCGTCTGGCACGGGCGTCGGGGGCACGACCTGGCAGATGGGCGGCTTTGGCGGCTGGCGGGGGTTTTTGAGAGGGGACGTCATCTCGTAGCGTTGAGTGGGAGATTCTTCCATTCGGTGTTGGTACAGTTCGGGGTAGTCGGGATGCCCTCGTTGTGTAGACTGAGCCTGCGGGTCGACCAGAAGCAGTGATTCATTGTTATGCGGGAAGAAGACGACAGTCCTCGCCTCACTGACTTCGATCAGGCCGGGCGAAGATGAAGGGATCGAAATTTGTGTGTACGGCATCGATGGTGGGCGCAGATGCGACATATCCTCCACTCCGATGATAATGGACTGCGTCTTGGATGCTTCCACAGCATCATGTGTCTCGCGGGCTGCGGTCTCTGCTTTAGCTAGACGTGGCTGCTCAGCAACTCGATCATGAGCTCCATGATCCGTAGCCATTGCATGGTCCCGCAGGCTCTCCGATGTCAAAGATGTAGTCCGTGAGTTATTTCGACTGGTTGGTGCAGAGAGCGAGGAGCTGCGGGCGGGGATACTCGGTCGGCCAGAGTGGCGACCACGAGATTCCGCCCGCCTCGAGCTGCTCGCAGTCGTGTCGGACGTGCGCTTCTGCCGAGGAGGCTCGCGAGAGCCAGGCCGGCTACCCGATGCGGACGGGCCTTGTCGACTGGAATGGCGCGAGCGGCTTTGCGAGGTATTTCTGCTGGTCGAAGTGGACGACTTGAGAGAGGAGGTTCGTTCCGGGATCACAACCACCGGCACCACATCCACGGTTTGCTGCTGGGTGTTCACACTGGAGGCTCCAGAGAACGAGATTTCCGACGCGATGCTCTTGCGGTCGCTCTCGGTGATCCGACCAGCTTTGTGTACTAGGCGATGTTGCGAGTCCGCGCTGGAAGCGGTTGATGCATGTTCTGGGCTGGGGAAAGGGGAACTAGCCGAACGCAGCGAGCCTCTTTTATCGGTATGACGCAGGGATCTTCGAGTGGACCTTGGAGCGTCGATGATCATTACCTCGACAGTGGACGACGACATGGACACGTCTGACAGCCGGCGAGCGTCGTCGTGCTCCGCAGAGTGAGGCTGGTCCTCCGCACGTGGCCAGCCAATCTCTTCGCGAAACTGTTCAATGGACAAGCCACCCACTGGTTCCTGCGCATCCCGGACAGACTCCCGTAGATTCGAGCGTGCCGGAGGAACTTTGGTGTTCTGTGTCTCCCAACCATTCATATCGTAGCCATGTTCTGTGTCCGCAGGACGGACCTTGGGAACCCCGTTCCTCGTAGACTTCTTCCTGCGTGGCGGCGACACCTTCAGTTCTGCATCATCGTCCATCTTTCGTTGCGCATGGGGCTCCATCACGGACGGTCGGAGACGTTGAGTACGAGGATCAGGAACCGGTGTCGACTCTCCACTCCCTCGGTCATCATAGTCCGCCGGCTCGTCCCTCAACGACCTCTGTCTGGTAGGCAACAACGACTGCGTAGACTGACGAGGAGTTTCCGTCTCTGCATCCGAGATCATTTCATAGGCTGTCCGAAACGACTCGGCGTGCGACGAGGAGGAAGAAGACAGTCCAAAGTGCGACAGTCCCGGACGCGGGGCGGAAGGAGCGACACGCGGGGGAGTCGTTTCAGGCGTGGGTGGATGGGACGGCTTGGAGGTCACCGCCCCGTTCACGGAGTAGGATGAAGTAGCTTTTGGCGTGCTTGTTCCGCTGCTCATGAGGTCTTCGCTCTGAGCAACTCCAGGCGGCGTTAGAGGACGGACGGGAGCGGCTGCCAAAGGGGTGGCATTTGAAGGGCGGCCATGCTGAGGTTGAGGCGTTGCCTCGATGGCTGGAGGGCTCCAGAGGACATTTGGCCTTCGTCGTAGAGACTTGTGGGCCCTCAACTGGGGCGGGTCCAGGTGTCCTGGTGAGGCGAGAGACGTGTTCACGACTTCCAGGCCGGGCATGGTGAGATGGCCCAACTGTCTGGGATGCCCAATTGGCGGACCCGACGGTCGCAGCAATCCGGACAGATATTTGTCACAAGCGATCACAGTGGGTGATTGGCAAGAGAAGCATGACACTTGAGTTGTTTCAATGGAGATTGGTCCCAGCTAATAGCTGACGACGTCGCATCGCCTGTTCACCGCGGCAGTTCGGAGTGTGAGGTTTGAGTTTCAAACAAGAAGATAACGTTTACTACAATGAATAAGAAACCCCCAAAAGAGGTGACCGTTTTGGACAACGGCTACCTTGTACACATTCACTGGATCCTTTTTTTTTACCCTTGTCCTTTGTCTTTCTTTATCTTTCTTTTCTTTTTTCTTTCCTGCCAACCCTGGGACAACGTTTGTTGTAAAAGCGACTGAGCGGCGGCCAGCAAGGGAGGGAAGTGGAGGGACAGCGCAAGGGGAGGAACACGGTAAACTAAGGAATTAATGCCCACCCCAGCGCGTCTTACAAACCAGACCGATGCCAATTTTTCCGGTCAGCAGCAATTATGCTCCTCCAGGGGCATCGACGATTCCAAAAATAGAGAATATGGTCAAGAATTGGGGCCAGGCAAGGCGTGACACGCAGGAGGAGACCCCGTTGGCACAGAAAAGGTCCGAGGAGCGCGACGACGAGGCAAGACAGATGAGTCGCAAAGACATTCCACGTTGCGGATCCAGCGCGCGGTGCACTCAGCGGACCGCCCCAGGTCAATCCGGGATAATGACCGCGATTAAAGTCGTGGGTCGGCTTGGCAAACTACATGGAGGAAAGCAGAGGGGGAAGGATGAGGCCCAAGTATGGCAGGGCTGGCTAATTGATGGTCTGGAGAAGCGCGACCGAATGGAAGTGGAAGAGATGATGAGGGGGAATGGATGGAGGGATTGATTTGTTCGGAGAATCGGCGACGATCCAGTGACTCGCCCTGCAGTTGTCACGGGATGCTCCGAAATGCTATAGGCTCACACTACTATAAGACGGGGGTTACTACAATGCCGTATAGGACCGGGAAGTACCCGAGACATCAAGGTTATTGCTACACAGTACACCAGACGATGCGGTGTCGACACGGTTAAGTAACTTCTCCCAAGTATATATTGACACCGCCGGTTACTGTAGGTTCCTGATCGCGTTGAACAAGGAATTGCATCATCGATGACATGAGTCCCCCTGCAACGTTGGCAGAAATCTCGGGAGTGGCGTGTGTAATCCATGGTCGACTACAGCTGAACCATCCCCCAGACTGGGAACACAGTACATACTAGCTAAAGGACCCGCGATTGTTGTTTGCCGGCGCTGGATCGGATCCGACTTTTGCTGAGAAGCGGAATGGGTAGGCGAGCAGAGCAGCCACTTAAGTAGGCACGGGATGGCCCCCCAGAACGAGGGATTAAACTGCGCATATGATGACATGACGACCAGTGAGAGAAGGAGTCTGACGATGACTCGAACCGAAATAGAGGGCTAGACCCAAGATCTTTGTTGAATAATCAGGACAGAGCTTGTATCTCGCGTTAATCTAATCTACTACGTACTAATGTCATTTCCGATTTGAAATCAGTCATGGGAAGGATTTGATGAAGCCATGACGGGATATGACGCAGTGTGAGATGGTCAGTGAGCAGCCACCAAACGGAAGAGAAATTCGGGAGTAATGAAGCGAGATGAGGGAGAGATTAAGTATGGGGTTAGTTAGTGGGAGCAATGATAGATGATGATGAAGGCGAAAAGGCGATGATGCTAGAGAAAGACTAAACTGACACAGAGAGAGACAATCGGCACGCGAGACTGGCTGAGTCAGCACCCACAGAAAGAGCCAGACTAACCCGAACCGGCAAGTCAGCCTAGGCGAAGATCCCCTTCGACGTCATGGCTGCTTGCAATTCCACCTCCGCTGGCCGATGACGCTCCATGCCGTTCATTCGATTTCCCTTCTCTTTTCTTTTTTGATTTAGATTTGATTTATTTTATTTGATTTTACGCTTCCTCATGCGACGGCATGTGTGCTTGAAATTATAATCTTAATAGCCTCTCCTCCGTCTTCGTCCGCCATATTTTTTCTTCTGATTCCTGCCACGGTGCTCCCTCACGTTGTGCTGCCTGCCTGCAGTCTGTCCAGCTGCCCTCATCCATCCATCATCCATCCATCGATCTGCCCATCGGCCAGCATTTCCCCACCATCCCGTCCTCTCGCTTTCTCTCCGTCTCCATTTCAGCTGAAAGAGAAAGGGAAAGAAGATTAAATTAAAATTAATTTACTCTACGACGATTCTTCTGTGACTGGTGTCCCGTCCATTCTCCAATCCTTTTCATCCATAATTTTCGACAGTGGTTCTTTACTGGGGTGTGTCTTTTTTTGACTGTGCAGCAAGCAGCAGTGATCTCACTCACAGGTAATAAAATACTCATCCCAAAAATACCCTCCCCTCTCCTCTTTGCTCCTCCCACCCCTTTTTTGTGTGTGTCCATTTTCTTTGTTCAGTCCTGCCACCTTGTAATTTAATTTGACAAATCCCGATCGATCATCTTCCCGAAACGTCATCGTCTTGTCTTTTTGAAGTTATTCTAGCATTGCTCACGCACATCTTTCCTTAAGTGACTGTATTTCCCAACTGACACTAACGGACATTTACAGTTTAGGCCTTGGCGGGGTAAAAAAGCACCAGCAGCTAAATTAGACACAGTTTAACCCAAAAAAAGACAAAAACGAAAAAAACAGAGACACAGAGAATCTTGGTTCCTTCCCAATCACATTTCATCATCTGGCTTTCATTTCTTCTTCCTCGTCCTACTGACCTTGCCTGACTCCTACTACTTACTTCCCTCCCTTTTTCCTCCTCCCCCCTACTACTTACTTCTCTTCACTTTCCTTTTTCCTCATTCCCTGTCCCTTTCTTTCCCTTTTTTCCCATTGTAATCCCCCACTTCCCCTTCCCTCCCTCTCTCTCCCCCTTACTCAGCACACACACACCATGAGTACCATACAAAGTCTTAAGAATTTCATACGTCATGGCAAACAAGCCCGCCTGGTGACGCCGCATGCCGAACCCACCACCAATGTCTCTCCCATTCATGCCGAACAACAACGTCAACCCCAGGGCTCCTACCCCCCCGCTGCTGGCAACCTGGATGCCATTGACAGCAAATTGGGCAACGGCCAGGCTCAGCCGTCCCAGAAGAATTCCGACCAGACCCGCCGCGCGCGCGAGGCCGAACTCGAGCAGATTATCGCAGAGGAAAAGAGCAGTCGCAACAAGATGCCCCGATACCCCGGCCTCGAACGTTATACCCTCGTCGAGAAGATGGGCGATGGCGCTTTCAGTAACGTCTATCGCGCCAGGGATAGCACCGGCGAATATGGCGACGTGGCCATCAAAGTCGTTCGGAAGTTTGAAATGAATAGTAATCAGGTAGGAACTGCGACCACACACTCATTTCCCTTGGTTGTGTCATGGTTTATATGCGCACTCTGGTTATTTCTCTTCATGCTGCTCTCTGTGTTTTCTGATTTGCTGGTTTGCCTTGTTTCCTCTTTACATCTCTCTCTTTCTCTTTTTGAGTCATTTCGCCAATCTCTTGTCAATAGTCATCCGCCCATCTACATCCCGGGTTGAAGAAGAAACCCAAAGCTACAGAGGTGCGCAATCCCTCTGGGATGATCTATCATGAGTCACCCATCCAAGTCGCATGGGTCGCCTGATACCCTGCCCTTGCAATGTCTTCTTTTCTTCGCCTTCCCTTGCTACCAATGACTCCAGAAATGTTCGCTCGAGCTAATGACTCATTTGTTTCTTAGCGTGCCAATATCCTGAAAGAGGTCCAGATTATGCGCCAGCTAGATCACCCGAATATCGTCAAACTCGTACAGTTTTCCGAGTCGCGCCAATATTACTACATCGTGCTGGAACTCTGCCCTGGTGGCGAGTTGTTCCATCAGATCGTGCGATTGACCTACTTCAGCGAAGACCTTAGTCGTCACGTCATTCTTCAAGTCGCCAAGGCCATTGAGTATCTTCATGAGACATCCGGTGTCGTGCATCGGTAAGGCCTGACCTCCTACGCGCTCTTGTCCGCCCCCTCTGGCTTTGCTGACTTTTTGCGACAGTGACATCAAACCCGAAAACCTTCTCTTCTACCCCATCGACTTCATCCCGAGTAAAAACCCCAAACCTCGTCAACCTGGGGACGAGGACAAGGTCGATGAAGGCGAATTCATTCCTGGAAAAGGCGCTGGTGGCATTGGTGTGATTAAGATCGCTGATTTTGGTTTGTCCAAGGTCATCTGGGACAGCCAAACTATGACGCCCTGTGGAACTGTCGGCTACACCGCGCCCGAAATTGTCAAGGATGAGAGATACTCGAAGAGTGTTGATATGTGGGCCCTGGGATGCGTTCTCTATACCCTCCTCTGTGGCTTCCCGCCTTTCTATGATGAGAGCATTCAAGTCCTCACCGAGAAGGTTGCGCGTGGCCAATATACCTTCCTGTCGCCGTGGTGGGACGATATTTCCAAGTCGGCGCAGGATTTGATCTCCCATCTTTTGACGGTTGACCCGGAGAAGCGGTACACGATCAAGCAATTTTTGGAGCACCCGTGGATTCGTCAGACCGACGAAGCAACCGAAGCAGCTGCAGATGCTCCGCCTCTGGCAACCCCGCTGACCACCCGCAAGACACAACAACTGGACGCCTTCGCGGCCGACCAAGCGCCCTATGCCCCGGCCAGCGCCCGTCTCCTGGACCCAGCTTCTGCCGGCCTCGAGCGTCCCATGGACTTCCGCTCTCCTGGCGCGATCAACCTGCGCGAGGTCTTCGACGTGGGCTATGCCGTTCACCGGCAGGAAGAGGAAGGCAAGCGGCGCAAGAACTTCCGCCAAGGGTATCGTGGTGCGAACCCGTCTACGGCATTCCAGTCAGCGCTTAACCCGTTGAACGAAGACTACGACGAGGCCGAAGAGATAACCTACCAACCCCTTCCTCGGGAAGATTTCCCTCCGGCTAAGATTCCCAAAGCCTCCCAGCAAGCAAGTGATGTAGCGGCCATGGAAGCAAAACTCCGATCGACGAACCTGGGAGCGCCCAGCCACGCCGCGCAAGCGCGCCAAGCGCACCAGCCTCGACAGCAGCAAGGATATGGTCAGCACAGTGCCAAGGTGGCAGCCGCTGCAAAGCAGAGCATTGCGCGGGGTGCGCGGGAGCCCTTCGAGCTGAGTCTCGACAACGCCACATTATTAGAAAAGAGAGGTCGACGACAACAGGGCCAGGTTGCTTAAGCCTCTCCCTTTCCCAAACCCTCTCTCTTCATCTCCCAAGATCCACAACACTACCTGACGACTCGAGAGCCACAGGCTACGAACTCCCCTTGCTTATGAGTTTCTTGATCTGATGACCTAACCCTTATTCCCCCTTCCCCTTATTCGAACGTTGGACAGGATCCCTGGGTGGCTACACACGAACTCGATCGGTCGCATTTATTCTGGGTGTTTTCTTTTATCGTTGCTATTTTCTTCTTCTTTTACCTCTTCCTTTCATGGCTGGTAATTCTTTTCTTTTACTCATGTTTTAGCTGTATTCGGGTTCTGGGCACAGCATATGGTATGGTCCCTTTTCTTCTCACATTTGTACTGATTGTCGCTGGGCTGTTTTGTTCGATGAATGTCATTACGCGCGTGTCATTTTCTCCGGGGCTATACATTTACATGCTTTGATGCTTCAAATGCACATACATACATATTTGCGAAAGGAGCACATTCGTGGCATGGATTTTCTTCACGATGCGTGGTGGGCTAAATCTATGGATATCACTGCAACTGCTTCCTTTTTCTTCTCGGGGTAGTCCGGCGTATGTACGTTTTGCTCTCTTTCTTTCGTAACTAAAAGCGATTCCTGGTCGATCTATGTTAGTATTCCTAGATGACCGATACGGATGAACATGATCATTTAATCATGTCTGTTACTGTAGAATTATGCCTTGAGCCTACATTTTCAACTTCACCCCAGTAGTACTACATAGTGCCTTAACAGACAGTTTGGTTTTTCCAAACTGTCTGTTTAGTTGTCTGCATGTATGCAGTATCATCACCCTTTTGCCAAAAGAAAAAAAAAATCAAATATGTTCCCCACCATAGGAGTAGTAAAATGAAGACACTATCAATAATAGCAGTACTAGTGACAACCTAAATAGTATACTCATCTAAACTGTAATCAAAATAAACATAACTAGTTTCATTTCACTCCTTATGCTATCATGCTCCTTTTTTTTTTTTTTTTTTTTTTTTTTGCTTCTTTTGAAGCTATATACGGCTAACCAAAAGAAAAAACGTCATGACATCCACGTCATACAACAGGAATATCAACACATGAAGAGTAGTACAACCGAACGAGTCAGTAGACGGAACAAATCAATCAAGCGCGCATGTATACATATAACCACCAGGCACTATGTGCAATCCCGTTGTCCATGCAAGCCATTCAAAACATGGGTATCATGCATCGTTTCAATATGCTCGCTTACCCAAGAAGCTGAGACATGAGCGTATGAACATAACCAGCCGTTATGGTGTAGATAATAATGAAAAGAATATATAAATACTTGCCTCCCCGTTTTCTCTTTTATGTTGTCATCATTTACAGCGTCTGCTTTCCCCGGGTTTCAATGGGGAGAAGACACATGGCCACGAATGCGGCCAGAATCAATCCACCAGATGCGTAGATAGGAGCATCTGGGTTGGAACTTCCGCCGTAGATGGCCACGAGAGGCGCACACAGTCCCGCAATGCGGTTAAGGCAGCTGGAAATGCCAGTGGCCGTGCCGCGGTTCGGAGCCGGGAAGACCTCGGGAGTGTAGGCGTACAAGACGCCGTACATGATGTTCTGGAAGAAAGCCTCGAGGCAGGAGCAAAGCAGTTGGATGTTGGAGTTGGTCGAGGCCGTGAAGCAGAAGAGCAGCACTCCGGTAATCAAGGTGGAGATAACCATCGTACCCTTACGGCCGACATACTTGATCTCAACAGTGTAGCAGGCCAGGATCGACCCCGGGACACCGACAATCGAAGTGATGGCATAGTTCCGGTAGGCGATGTATGTAGAGCTGGAGCTGGAGCCACCTGCACGCTCGAGGTATTGGGGGAGGAAGGCATTGAACAAGGGATATCCCATTCCAATCGTGGCCCAGCAGAACCAGAGGAGAACGGCTAAAAGTTGGCTAGTTAGCCTAGGTTAAGGAAAACGACGTGTTGCGTTGAACACATACTGGAGAAACCAAGCTTCTTGGAGGAAAAGAGGGGTCCAATGCGCTCCAAGGAAAATTTGGACAAATTCCTCCGCACGATTTCAGCAAAGCTGAGCTTTTCCTCTGCCACATCCTCAGGATAACCACCAATTTCGTTGAGGATTTCCTCAGTCAGCCAGGTCTTGGTTCGGTTCTTGTGGGCAATGCCGTGGACGGAAGCAACGGCATCGCTCTGACGGCCGCGTGCAAGCAAATACTTGGGCGACTCGTATAGATGGAAGAGGAAGAAGCGGCAGATGAACATGGCAAAAGTAAGGGCACCCAGCGTGTAGCACAAGTATCGCCACCCCATGTTGCTCTGCTTAGTGCAGCAAGCCTCTCCGCTGGCAACGTTACCACAAGCAGGCAGATCGCTGCTGCAGCTGTAGTTCGGAATGAACGCCCATGCGAGTAGACTGATAATTACTCATTAGCCAAGGTCTCAAAATAATAGATGAGGATGACATACCTGGAGACTAGTTGGCCGAGAGGCCACCAGACACTCAGCATTGTCAGAAGGTTTCCCGAAGCAAAAGGCAGGAATTCCAAAAACAGAGCCCCATCGACAGGCAAGTTACCGCCTACACCAAGACCCAAGCAAGCATACAGGGCACAGGCTCTAGCATGAGACATTAGCAAGCGTCGACTTCGCAGACTACAAAAGGGACGCACCCGATCCAAGTTGGGGCACCACCGGCGGCGATGCCAAAGACACCGCAAATGAATAGTGTCATATTGAAAGCCGGGCGACGGCCGATGATATCGGACGCGATACCCCAGAAAGATGCACCAATGCAAAGACCCAAGAACAAGGAGCATGTTGTGAATCGGACCCATGTAGTAGAAACCCCGAACTCCGAGGCAATCGGGGTTAGTGTCAATGCAACACCCTTTTAGCGGTTAGTAAATCAGCCATAAAAGACGACATCTTTGCCAAAATCAAGTTATCTATCTCACCTGCAACCAGAGACTGGAGTAGACCACCGTTAGCTGATATATAAGTAATGCGCACGAGGGAACTACTTACTTGTCTGCTAGCCAACCAAAACCACAGAGCGCAAAAAGTTGCCACTGGTAACGGCCCATGCCAATATCCTGGATGGCTCTATTGATGAGTTTTGCCTTGCCTATATAGAAAACCACAATCAGATCTCGGACTTTCGAAGTGCCCAGGCACAGGGCTAATCATTCTTTGGAAGTTTCAGGAAAGCAAGGAAGCAGAGCAGGGAAAAAGGACAGTAGCCGCCCCATGGGGCAACATCAGAACATACGGTCATACGCAGTGTCTTTGCCTGATGTCGCAACATCCGCCTCAACTTCAGCGCGAAGGGCCTCAATGGTTAGGGTGTTGTAATTGTGGACAGACCCTACGCCGGCTTCCGAGGAGGGAGCCCTATCCAAGCTCCTATTGTCAGTCTTCTCATCAGGGCGGTCGGTTTTTTCTAGTTCAGGGTTCGGCTTGTGATGCGGAGGGGCTTCGGACAGGGGGACCACGACCCCAGGGAAGTCGTGGTCATTTTTCCGGAAAGGGTTGACTCCGAAAGGCATGGTTGCTGGACTTTAGTGACGATGTCGCATGCGAGGGCAACTTTCGATATGGGCTGTGGCACCGGGGGTAAATTGGGAGAGTAGGATCGATGGTCTGCTTTGACGGGCTTCAACGTGAGTCGAACTACTTGTCGCTATGGTCTGCAAGGGAATTTCTCTATCGATTTCCAGGATGCTCAAAAAGCTAGGGGCCACCGATGGCTTCGCAATTGTCGCTAGGGTCAGATACAGTAGGCGCAATGGCTGTATAACCGTAACAGGTTGGTGCTAGGGACAGGCTGAACAGGAACCGATACTCGGGGGCCGATAAAAAGGTGCTCAGGGATTTCAGTGGCCGGATATTCGTGGGTCTTATGTCGAGGCTATTGAGCGCACGTCGTACAGCTGAAATCGAGCAGACGGTTTTCGCCTTTGCTGGAGCAGGTTTGAAATATATCCAAAAGGAGTCAATGGTATATAAAGTAATGCCAGGGGTAAAAAAGCTAGGGACGCTGAGAACTGCAGCTCAGTCGACCTATAGACGACAGGGACGGAGAATGAAGAGGTAAGTATAAGAGGGCAAGGAACCGTGATGGTTCCGACTGACAGATCGAATGAATCGAATCTTCTTCCCGGAGCGATGAGATGGCGCACGGAGTAGAGGATCAATCGATTGCACTCGCTGTCGTCTTCAAGCCGACTCTTTTAAAAAATGCAACGGTAGAGGGGGGAAAGAGTTGCGGGGAGAGGGGTGGGTAGTATATGAGGTGGTAGAGAAGAGTGAGGGTAAGCACAGGAAAGAACCAAAGTTTGGGAATGAGGAGAGGAAAGCTGAGGTCTATATACGCATCCAGCTTTGGACTGAAAGCTAACATGAAAAAGGAAAAAAAGACTGCATCGTAGAAATTCCCATCGCAAATCACTGTCTCTTCCCTCTTCCCTCTTTCCTATTTTTCTTTTTACTTTTTCTGTCTGCTGCTACGATACTTGGGGTGGTATGGGTCCGTCCCTGTAAATTAAATTAGTGCTTTTTGCAAACGCCGGGAAGTGGCAAGTGCCAACGACTTACAGAGTAGTCTCCTAGAAGAGATGTAATGCAATTGGTCGGCAAAACTTTTTCAATACCTTGGCAGCTGTAAAATCAATGCATATTTCACTTCACCCATCTCCCTCTTGAGTATATCGAACGCTGGCATAATATTATCTTCGGAGGGGCGTAAATATGCTTTCGCATGACTCTTCGGATGCAAATACTGTGATACGCGTACTGATCCCGTACGGCCCCCCATACTTTGGCCGGACTCAGGCTAGCGCGGGGCGATGGAACCACACCGGCCGAAACCGAAGTCCAATCTCGACAATGCTGATTGGACCGTCTATACCTTGGTAGGGTGTCTTGGCATTGACGGCGGACGCCATGGCCCTTGGCAGATGCAGACTGCAGCGATACCCCGGCGACAATCGACTTGACGATTGGAGCAATGTCTTACCAGAAGAGATGATATGATAGGGAATATGTAGGGCTTATCTTTCGCAGAACTCAGCAGAGATAGGAGTACTCGATTGCCACAAAGAAGAGCGGGAAAAAAGCTGTTTCGAAGCGGCAAACCTATAGCTCTGACTTCTCGGTATGCAATAAATGCTGCACAGCACTTTTTTTTTTTCCCTCTTCACCACCGGAAAAGGGTGCACTAGGAAAGCCACTTTTACCCTAACCCACTTCGCGGCGGTGGCCAGCAACGTTGACTGGATGCTAGAATCGAGGATTCCTCGGGAGGTGCCAGATCTTCCAAGCAATGAGACAACTGGGCTGGCATTCATCTCCGCAACGTGCGTTGGTTCATCCCAACGCAAGGGAGGCTCTCCATGGTGCCGGCCGAGGCGCATGGTCAGAATTTGGGGTAATGATGCCATCCGAAGAAGCTTAACTCGGCGTCATCAGTAAACATGTCCTCCAAGCGGTTCAGGACAGTGTGTACACAAAGAATAAGTCGTTCTGGGACTAGGATTTTCTCACATGAGCACAAACGACTCGATCCACGTGCCAGATTTGCCCGATATTCTTCTACGTCATCGCCATACTTCTGTATGACGCTAACCCTGACTGGGACTAGTCAAAGTTACCTGACAACATCGGTACCGGGCAGAGAGATCTTACAATTTAGGATGCCATGGCCACTAAGGCACTCCGTTGGCGCAGTTGAAACCTGATTTGGTATGTGAGAATCCCGCCTTCCTGGTCTCCCAAATTTCGAAACCACTGGGGACTGGTGGACTTCGTTGTACCATAAGGATAGAGGCCTGAAGTTCATGTCCCACAGACACGAATATCTTACATCCGATCTGCACTCTGAAGATGGTAACCGTAAGCCACGAGCGCAGCCGCACCTGAAAACTTACCCGTCCAGCATGCATGTAGGAACGTACTAGGAGTCGCCGACACAAGACACCATGATGAAGTAGGTTTAGAATCCCAAGACGACCGGCCTTTCCCAGACGGGCATGGCACGGCAGAGGCCTGAGCATGAGGTCGCCAGTCCAATCCCAGCAAGGATCATCGTTACACTGGTCCGTCACCACTTCCGCAACCGTTTCTTAGATACCCGTTTCCCTGGCCATCCAATCATCACCCAGCAAGCAAGTCCTAGTAATTTCCTACAGACGGGCATCCCTAATGGGGCCACGGGCCACCAATGGCTTTGGCTCAGAGGCAGAGTGGTAGTAATACTACTAAGTACTTCTAGTCACGCAAATGGCTCCCTAATTTACCTACCGGGCCAACCACAGGGAGTTCCCTCTCAACAAAAGGGTGACCTGCCAAATGGGGGCCAAGACCAGCAGTCGTAAAATACAACCTACGGCTGTCCACTCATAAGCGATTTCTCTGCCGTCAAAGTCCGCTCACTATTGCCCTTTTGGCCATGGTCAGTTTTCGGGCCATCTTGTTTTCCGCGGGAAGGTACGCCGGTGGTACCATCGCGCCATAAGCTGGAGGACTAGAGAGAAACCGTAGGCCAAGTTCATGCTTATGCTTCAAACCCGGTTGCCTCACTTCATGGTTGGGCTGGACCATGAAATCCTATCGACTGCACCAGGACACCCACTAAACAGATAGTCGCCGAGATCGAACCCCTCATTTCTCTCTATCTCCGGCTGATGAATGTATCTCCAACACACGCGGCGGCGACAGACGATGGCTTGAGCACTGCGTTCGACAAAACAAGACGGGAAAGTTTCCAAACTAAGCGGACTGCAGACGAGTTGAGTCGGCAATGAAGATCCAGTTCGTAGAGATCTCATGTACCAGTAGCTTATGGAAAGACTATCAAAGTGCGGAGACGGTCTCGGGACAGTTTTTCTCTATCGGGACATATTATCCAGCTTCATATCGAAATCTCTCGGCGCCACTTCCAACGCAATCCGAAAGGAGGCGAGCGAGAACGTGCTCTTCGAATGGTTGTTCGTGGATTTATCCCCTCCGCTTCTTCATTCAGACGCAAAACGTTGGGACTCCCGTGAGCCATTTCTTTGAAGACTAGTGGTTCTGTCACAAGTTTAGCGGACTTGGAGCAATCAGGTACTGATCAAAATAATGAAGCCCTGAGCAGCTGCGCGTTCTCCGCAGAGCCATGAGCTTCTGGACTTAAGGAGGATTAGTTGACGTCAGTCGAACACTAGCCGGGTCTTGGTGCATGAGAGTACATTATCTCATCTTGTCACAAAGGTTGACTTGTCCGCAGTGGTTTTGGCCAGCTCCAACTTCGGGGTAAACGCTCCTCCTAGCCGACTGGTGTTGTAGTTTGGGAGATAGATACCCTTTGACACCGCCACAGATGGAGGAGGTAATGAATGGCCCTCGGAACCGGATAATGGATATTCCCGGCGGCCAGCGACACGTGATCGGCGACCGAGCATCGAGGGGCTGCGCAGTGCGCGCCTGAGCCTTTGGTGCGCGCTCCCTTTAAGGCCAATATGCCAAAACAATACTCCGCATCATAACTCTGACTACCTCCTGGCTATGTACTGCGCCACATGCCAATGTGGGGGGTAGACATCACATATTTTGAATTTCTCTGTCTCTCTGGCAATCTTTCAGGTCCTCGTCCGGCACCAGAATCGCTCGTGTCGGTTCTCACAGTTCATACACCACCACCATGACCAAGATATTGACCTCCAGCCAAGCTGAGGAACTGTGAGTATATTTATGCCATGGCCTGCCGTACCTTGCTTGCGCGCTTATACGCAACCCAGGCATAAGTCGATAATCGCCTATCTTTCGTCAATAAATGCCTCGCGGAGTTGTGAAGTGCTGCGGGAGGAACTTCAGGTGGACAGTAGTTTCGACGATGCGCTGTGCCGGAAATACGAGGGGCTATTAGAGAAGAAATGGACCGGAATTGCTCGGCTGCAGAAAAAGGTAGGTACATGTGCTTGACAGGGTTGGTCGCTTGGAGTTGTTTCTTCTTTCATCGTCGCTGGAGAACTCGGTAACTAATCACCGTGTAGATCTTGGACTTAGAATCTAAACTCTCTGGCCTCCAAACCGAGCTTGACACTATATCACCTACAGCCCGTTCCACCGGGAAAGATCCGATAAATTGGCTTCCCACTTCTTCCCGACATACATTTGAGTCGCACCGAGATGCTGTCACTTGCGTCGCATTCCATCCTGTCTTCACCTCTCTCGCCTCCGGTTCCGAGGACTGCACAATCAAAATATGGGATTGGGAACTCGGTGAACTAGAGCGGACACTCAAGGGTCACATGAGGCCGGTCTCCGATCTCGATTTTGGCGGTCAGAAGGGACATACCATACTAGCATCATGTTCGAGTGATCTCCAGATCAAACTGTGGGACCCGAATAAGGATTATGCCAATGTTCGGACACTTTCTGGACACGACCATTCAGTTTCGGCTGTGCGCTTTTTGCGACAGACAGATAACATTCTTATCTCGGCCAGTCGGGATGCGACGATCCGGATATGGGACGTGTCGACCGGATACTGTGTTAAGGTGATCGACTCGCAGGGCTCCTGGATCAACGACGTGTCTCCTTCCTTCGATGGAAAGTGGTTGGTGACGGGAGGCCGTGATCAAGCCGCGATGGTTTGGGAAGTCGCATCAGCCAAATCGGTTGCGTCATTAATAGGTCACGAGAATTTCATCGAGTGCTGCGTCTTTGCGCCTCCCTCAAGCTATAAGCACTTGGCCGCTATTGCGGGACTCAAGACAGCACCACCTGCGAGCAGCTCCTCCGAATTCATTGCGACGGGAGCCCGTGACAAGACGATCAAGCTCTGGGAATCCCGGGGCCGCCTGATCAAGACATTAGTTGGGCACGACAACTGGGTACGAGGCCTATTATTCCATCCTGGCGGAAAGTACTTAATCAGTGTTGCGGACGACAAAACAATACGTTGCTGGGATCTGTCTCAAGGGGGAAGATTGGTGAAGACGATCAACGCCCACGGGCATTTTGTTAGTTGCATTCGTTGGGGCCCAGTACCTGTGAGCGATGTTCCAGTGGAGACATCTGAATCGACTAAAAGTTCCAAGACGGACTCTGTCAAGCCTGGGTTTCAATGCGTCATTGCAACAGGGAGCGCCGATTCAAGTGTACGGATTTTCACGTAGTTTCAGAGGTAAATGATTGCATATATCCTAACCTTTTCAAAGACTAATACCAATACGAAGACTCAGATTCATGAAGCTCCTTCCTCCCATCCGCAAGACACATACACACACACACACCCATGTAAATGCAATCCCAGGAGAAACAAGCAAGCCCCGATATCCGAGATCGAGGTCGAGGTCGATGTCTCCAGCCGCAGATCCTTATTTTCCTGTACACAAACAAACACAAACACACTGCTGCTTATGACGGCTCCCGACCAGGAAGAATTGATTGATGAAATGATGAATGAGATTATGACTGAAGCTGAATCTGATACACACACGTTGGTTGTCTAGAAATAAGATGACGATGTCTGAAGTAGGACAAGGGGAGGATCTTAAGAGAGGGAACCTGTCTCACACACACACACACACACACACACACACACACACACACACACACACACACACACACACCCCACAGAGTCATGTCTGGATCAGATTCCAGACATGCAGCACTCGCGAAGCAAAAAGCACAACGCAGTGCGACCTTATCCCACCACCACCCAGACAGAGATGGAGACGAGCAATCTCTTCACGCATCGCATCATCCATGTCTATTCGTCTATTTTTGCATACCCCCTATCTATTGAGCAGGGCACCCGCGTCCCTTGCCGTATTTGACCTTCTATTTCCCCTTCATCTTTCATTCGACTCAAGAGTGCCGGTTCCATCAAGGCGTCCGTCTGTCCCCTTCAGGAAGCATTTCATGGAACGGGGATTTCTCTTCGCAACAAAGGCGCACGGTCTAGACTACTTAGAGAGACTCTGCGGCTTTTCTGTTTCTTTGGCATCATACTTACTACTATCTTGACTGTAAATAGCTTCTCTATCTAGCTAGCTTTAGTGCCGATTGCTTCTTTACATACATACATACATACATTATTGGCAAGGTGTATCTGATATACTCGTGTCCCCTTCCTGTGCTACGGCATGAGTGGGAGATGCTGTGTGACTTGTACCATTCACTCCTTCTGACAATGGCTTATGTCGGATCACCTGTGTCAAGTCTCATTCCTAGGACAAGTCACATTGAGTACGGTGTTTGACTAGACTGCAGCTTCAGAATTAGACGAGGCAGTAGTCAAGTAATAGCATAAATAGAAAGAAGAGTGTAAATTCCGCATCGTTTTGGTACATAGTGTTTTCAGACCCTATCCTTTTCCAGTATTCAGGTTGAAAAGATAAGTTAAGTGTCAGGAAAAAAAGTAGGTCGGTAGTCTACTGCTATTTTTACTTTAGAGGCTGCCAATTAAAGCTGCTCATGTACATTCACGCAACGTATCTACAGAACATAACCTATGTCTTTACTATCATCACAACATCATCCCTTATCTTAGCCTAACCCCACCTTACAGGGTATCCCGCCGACCAAGCAGCCACTCAAGGTGACGATACGACACTCTGGGCTGGAACTGAGGCTGCATATGGCCACTCTGGAAAGTCTCAGCCCACATAAGACCACGCTCATAGTGCTGGATGCCCATGACGCCCTGACCACCTTGCGGGTCATAGCCGTTCTCAATGAAGACTTCATTGTACATGAGGTCCGGGATATCGATGTTGATGGGTGTGCTGGGAGCAGTATCAAACCCAAGCTTTCCATTCCACGTCATATTTTGGATCGAGAGAAGAGTGCCATTGGTGAGGATGACCATGTCATAGTCACCGTTACCGATCAGAACGCGGTTAGTGCCTTCGATGACCTGCGGCAAGACATGCTCGATAGGGTTGGCTGAGTAATCACCCTCCTGCTCGGGCCCGCCGTCACCTCCGACGAAGACGCTCTCCATGGAGCACTCGGACCAGGTGATGTTGGGGGCGTGCATGGCACGCTTGACGTCTGCGCGGTCGAAGTAGATGGTGGCCCCTGCGGGAAGGTAGTCGAGTTCGGTGGGGAAGCCGAGAACGTCCCAGAGGAGGGGGCACATTTCGTTGATTCCGTAGGGGTTGAAGCAGGGGTTGGGATCCAGGACGGCGTCGTTGACGATGTCGAATACATCGCAGGTCGGGTCGCTCCAGTTCATAGCCTTCGGCGGTTGGACTCCGGATGCGGGGAAGACTAGATACTGGTCGATGAAATCTTTGTATCCGCATTGCTCGTGGAGGGTTTCTAGCTCCGCTAGGAAGCTTGCGTTGAAGTTGAAGAGGGCGTTGTTCTTCTGGACAAATGGGACAACGGGTGCTTCTTCCTGCACGTAGTCGAATTGGCCGATACAGGGGTCATAGGCCAGTGCACCTGGATAGTATGGTCAGTCGAGGGCTCGAAATGGAAGTTTTTGTTGGTAGAGAATAGCTTACCTTTCAGGTTGAAGTGTTCTGTATCGTTCTGATCCAGGAAGGCCGCGGAGATGTAAGGAACATAGCGGCCCGCATAGCTTTCTCCAGTAACATAGATTTTGTAGTTCTTGATCCCAAAGATCTGCTGCCAGTTCTTGAAAAACTTCACAAAGTCTTCCGCAATCTCCTCCTCGGACGTGGCGGTTGGGACACCTAGAGAGAACCCCGTTCCCACAGGTTGATCAACCCTAGAAAAAAAAAAAAAAATTAGGTCGATACTCCTCGCACGGACTCTACCAGTAATCCAGGAATATTACACACTTACCACAGAACATTAGTGAGGTTCACCCACGAGTATGGGTTCTCTACAGGTTGGTAGGTTCCGGGCTGCCATACGAATCTACCATTCTCCTGAAGGAAGGCTTCAAGGGAACTGCAACCAGGGCCACCATTCAGCCAGATGGTGATCTCATCCACAGGTTCGCCGATAGTAGGCTGAAAGACGAAGAAAAGAGACCGTGACAGGTTGCCCTTCTCAATAGGGACCAAGCCGGAGTACATCTCGCCCAGATCGAAATGAACATCAGGCAAGCTTTCCACGCGGTAAGCTAAACGACAAAAGTAAGCCAGCTGTCGTGCATTGTCGGACTGATATACGTACGCTTAGTCTTGTTGTTCAAGAACTGATAGTCCTCGACAGGAATGTTCAATGAATGTTTCACAGCGTTAGCGGAACGCTTCCCGATGTTCATGGCGTCGCGAGCTTTTTGGCCAAATCGGCCATGCTTAGCAGCGGAAGCATTATCCGTGCACAACGAGACGGCTAGAACAGCCGTCGACAGCAGACTGCGAAACAGCATACTGAAAGATCTTTGGGGGACGGGCCAGTGGACAGGCGTGCACGAACACCGAGCCTGTCGATGGGGGTGCCGGAGCATTTATATGCGGGTGCCAGTTCCATGCTGCCTAACGATGATGTAGTGTAGCGACGCTAAGGCGACAATGCACACGGAGGGAACCATCTGATTGTCAGAGTGCGCTCACAGATTCAGGATTTGCAACCACTGGTACAAAGTGACTTGTCGGAAACTGAAGGGCGGGGCATAGGCAACGCAACAAGGTGATGGGACCTTGCAGAAACATCTCTGGCGGGGCGTTGCGCGAATAGGATGCAACGAGGAATCACGAAGGTACCAATGAGAAGCTCGCGACAGCTATGTGAGAGGAGAAACAAGCATGATCGCAAGGAAGTTGGAGCGGTTGTCCTCGGAAGAGGCCTCGTGGGAAGATGAATGCGATGCTCATTTCCTAATGCGGGAATACAGGCGGAAACTGCGGGCCTGTAGTGTGATGATAACGATTGTCGGTGACGATATCTCGATGGGGTACCAGGCTAAGCTTCGGCATTCGCTAGTGATAAGAGGCATTAATCAGCCGAAGCCCTGAACACCTCCACTCGGTCTTGCTGGATGGCTGTGATACGATGGATGGTCCCGCCATGTCTCAAGGTCTTGCGGGAGTCCGTCGGGCGTCCGAACGGCAATGGGCCCGAGGGCAGAACGGCAGTCCTGCAGAACAGTAGCGCGCGCAGCTAGCCGATAACCCGAGAACGCCGTTGTAATTAGGACTGGATTGCTTTTTATGACCACTGTTTTCCTGCCCATAAGGCTCGAGTTGTGTGCAAATACTCCGGCTGGAGTCTGCAGACTGCAGAGAGCTACGGAGTAGTTCGACATTAAACGGGAATGGTCCGTGCGAGCTGCCAGAACGCGGGTATCGAGATAAGGCGGTAATCCATAGGTCATGTTATTATTTTGGACTATGGCTATCCTTATTGCGAGATATCGTAAAATATACGTTATTGAAATGGTAAATGGGCGAAATAAGAGAGGTTGATAGTGCGAAATCTGTGTTAGATTTCTAGTCTTGTGTGGGTTGCCTCTGAAGGCATAGGGTAAGGTATGAAATTGGGCCTATTACATAATGATGCTAGATCACAGCTACAAGATAATCACCCACCAGAGTATGTGCTTTTTGATATAAGCTTCATTGTATTCATTTACCCTGAGCTTCTTAAGATTATCGTTCATCGGATCATACCAAGTATGAAACATTCTCCGTACCAGTAGACCAGAATAGAAAAGGAACAGATTGATGGGTTGTCTATGTGAAAGCACATCCATATGGCTAGGGCAACATTTTCATGGCAAACGTCATGTACCAGAAGGGGCAGTTGCAGTTGCAGCACCATCCTGGGTAAAAGAGTCATTGCGCCCATAATAGAACTTTGCGCGTTTCTCTTCAGTATCTTTCCTAATGCTGTTCATATAGTTGCGGAACGAGCGGTTCATTTCCATCACCTTCTTGAAATGATCGCTCTCAACGGTGATCTCACACCCCTCGGGGCAGTCATCGCTCCCACGCACATCGTATTCAGCCAACGCGATGGCAGTCTGGAGGGCGTTCCGAATCTCACGCCCATTCCAGTCCATCGCGCTCATCTCATCCCCCATGAGAAATTGAACGCAGGCCGGGGTGACACGAATCTTGCCTCTCTGTTCCACGCGCAGCTTGTCGATAAAGTTCCTCCAGATCTTCTTTCGCTTTTCCGGGTCAAGCTTTTCGAAGCCAATGATGACGTGAACCCGGGAGATAAATGCTTCATCGATATGGCCAACCCGATTGGTGGTCAGGAAAAGCAAGCCTTTGAAGAATTCCATCTTTCGGAGGAAAGCTTTTAAGAATACAATCAGTGACTATCTGTCAAACGTTTGATCGAGCGATTGTAGAGTACGACTCACCAGAAACTATTCCATTCCGGGCAATATCCTTGTGTTCTCGACGTTCGAGAAAAATGTCGGCCTCGTCGAGGAGTAGAATTGCTCGCCATCTTTGAGCAAGTGCAAACCAACTGGTAAGTTGAGTTTCGATTAATTCTTCCTTCGTACCTAGGTCTGCTATTGTCAGACTGATCAAGGGACGGCCGGTGTTCATGGCAATTGATTCTGAGTGTTTATCAATATTACAGTGATCGTTTCGAGGGCCTTAATAGACTAACTCACCAACGGTATAGGTCTTCCCGACTCCAGGGGGCCCTGTAGTGTAGTTACAAAATCAGCTTGGACGGACATAAAACCGCGTGAAGAACTGCCATTGAGCACACAACTGACCGTGAAGTAGAACCACAACGCCTTCGCCTTTATCCTTGATGAAGTCTGCGGACCAGGGATTCTGCGTTTTGATTTGACGATCTGACAGGGCTTTGATGATCTCAAGGTTCTCGGGTTTTATATTTGCATCCGGTATGGAAGTCGCCTCCTCCAGTTGCTCTGCATAGTCAACGTTCACAATCTCTGCGAATCATGGTTAGCATGGATGCCCTTTCCCCTGCCTTCCAAGATTTATATTACCCCAAGTTTTGGTCGACAATGCAAAAGCACCCATGACTGGACATGTCATAAATAGGTGATCATCGGATAGTAGTGATTTCGAACTTTCGCTGGCAAGCAAATCCAGCGGAAGCATCGAAGTTATTGGGTTTTGATCATCTTCGACTTTTACATTCTTGTTGCTACCCGGCATCCAGTCAAATATCCAGTCACTCCTGGGGAACTCAACCTCAATATCACAGTGCCCGATTATAACGGGTCCATCATACTGTAGGCGATCAGTACCCTCGTCAGTCCAGATGGGCTTGAGATAAGTTACCTTTCGTTTCCCTTTGTCCATAAGCCTACCACTATATCTCATGTACTTATAGCCACTCCATATGATGTCCCGGACTAAGCCGCCCCTTTGCTGGAATGCAGCCCGCCTTTTGCCATTATCCTGGCTGTCATGGAACTGGCGTGGGAAGACGGGCAAAGTGGTCACAACCTTCTCACCGTCAAAAGCCTCTATGGACAATTGTCGAGGTGCACGACCAGTAGCTTGTTGGTGAAAGCTGTTGTCTTGAAACACAACGTTCACCATCCAGGCCTCTTCTACATCATCGGTCTCCTCTCTATACTGCACGCTTTCGATAGCGCCACCAAGCCATATTTTGTCGTGAAGGAAGTAGCACAATGATCCCGGTTTCAGAAGATACCATATGTCCTCGAATATTACTGTAGGGGTTTCTTTCAATAGTCGCTTGTCAGCCGGAAGTACCATACGCTGGACCATTGGTTCCAAGAATTGTAGCAGCACATCGAGGTGACGGCACTTCTTTAAAAGACGGGCGTCGGACTTTGCGGCGATGTTGGTGTCTAGTCGGTCCCTCAGTTCCCTCAGCTCCTGGATGTGATGAAGTAGCGCCCTATAAGGCTCATGGACTGTCTCCTCGTCACCGACCAGGTTTTGACTGCTGTTCATTAGCCCCCACGCCCAGTGCACCGCATTCTAGACTTACCTCGGGTAGTACTTGACGACTTCTCGAATGGCATCTAGGAGCGACAGCGAGTAAATGATCATTCTCGCCTTATTCAAGCTTTTCACCTTCATGAAATCCAGTGAAGGCGTTCTAGCCTCTTCTGGCCTACCATCACGACGCAGCTCGACGTCAACTTTTGTCGCTATTTCAAACACACAGGAGGGCACCTCTGTAGGGGAGGGCTGCTTGGGGTCTTTCATAACTTTAAGCTGCAGGGGGGCATCGTGGGTCTCTTTAAAATCCGGACCGTCATAATTGAAGCAATCATAGGTATACTTGATGGGCTTGAACAAAATTTCCGATTGTTCGTTCTGCTCCGAACCGGGCAACGTTGCGCCATCTCCTGGTGTAGAACGTTCCGCATCGTCAACAACCACAGCAACGTGTGAGGTCTCAACACCTGTGAGAGTCATGTTAAAAAACAGGGTTAGATATCCGTTTGTGGTAGAATGACTCTGGACAGAAGCTGCTCAAATGTGATGGCGAGATGGGGATAGACAACGATAGATGAACCGATTCCAAAGCACTGGGTGCTGGTTCGGGATTACAGTTCTGCGGAGAAGTGTGGTCTATTAAATGTACGCCGCATCCAGAGCGTACTTTTTGAAGCGGTACGTACCCTGGCGCTCAGAAGATTGATTGACAAAAGAAAATATGTGATGATGTGGCCGTATCAAGGTCGGGAGAATGTCCTCCGGATGGCCAGAGGGAAGGTGAAGAGACAGTACCGCCATACTCGGCGAGTCAACTATGGGCTAAGTACGGAGTATGTTCACCAAATTGCCACTATCAGAATCAACAGCAAAGCACCCAATTACCGATGGTTGTCCACAAACCTCCCCATATTGCTTTTTTTTCTTCGGGTACTCCTGAATTACCCGAAAAACTCATAGGTCAGGGAACTACAAATGAAATATTACTGAGTATTCAATGGGAAATATCATGATACTTTCGTATATGTTACCTTCATTTACTCAGGTTGGCGGGTTTTAGGTCGGGGATCAAATCTCAACCTGCTATTTGGCGACGTCTGGATGTCGATCTGTCGACTTCTGCTCCACCTTTCAGCTCCCTGCCAGCTCGGATCATTCGATTCTGACATCTACTCCATGCGTAGGTAAGGTTCATCCCGTGCTTGATAACAATAAGCACATCATACTACGTGTCATGCAGCGCTAACCGGAGTCACTCCGAGGAGCTAGAGTCTTTCTTGAATGTCAGTGGCTGACCATACCTATCAGTCCTCATGCCTGCGCACGAACGAGTCCAGATCCCGGGAACTCCGGATTTAGACCTGTGCAAGCTTTTGATAGGGCAGAAGTGAACTGTTATGCATCCTACACATGGCTGCAAGTGTAGCCTTAAGGTGACAAACACCTTACCTTCAGCTGATGCCTCTCGGGAATCGGGGATCGGGGATCAATCCTCGCACGAGCGGGGAAGAACATACCATACGGCTGAGAATCACCGAAAAGCGAGGGTATTGCTTTTTCGGCTAGTCCCAAGTCAGTAGTATCTAGGACAACATGATCTCTGAGAGGGAATTGGGTATCAGAATGGGCATCAGGGGAGTTCGAACCTCAGTGAACTGGTAATCTGTCTGGCCAGGTGACCCAGTCTGTCATATTCATATATTCTGCCATCTGACTTGCCCATGATCCAGCTCAACATTTCTGATATCAATTCATCAGAATTAGACGTCAATACCTTCCTGTGTTGCCATGGATCACTTCAGGCGTAGAGCAGGCGAGGCTATAACACATGTCCGACAGTTCAGCTCCAAAGCCAAGAATGAACAGCCCGAGGAGCCATGGGTGTGAGTGACCAAATCAAGATCGAGAAATCTACATCTTGGGAATGAGGACACGCTGACGGATGGCCCGATAGGAAAAGCCTTGATGAGCATGTCAAGTGGGAGGTTAAGGAGGAGAGTGAGGGAAGGAGGTTGTTCAGTGAATCCACCGACCAGACAATTCGCTTATATCGGGATGGGTCACTGCCCAAATACGATTTGTAAGAGAGCAATCACTTTCTAGTGCCGGCTTCTGACTCTCATCAAGATCCTCCTCGCCCATCGCATTTGATGAATCTGACGAACTCAAAGAAATAACCAAGGAGCTCGAAGAAATGTGGAAAAAGGCGATCAAAGATCTTATCGAGAAGCGTGGGGATGATAATAACGACCTCGCTAAACTCATCAACGATCCCACCCCAGAGAGGCTTGAGGCGGTTGTGCGCACAGCGCAAAGTGAATTGGAGGCAAAGACGCATACAAAAGTGGGGAGGGCGAAGGGATGGTTCGTTAAAGTGGCCGGACGAATCAACAACCATAAGTACCTCCTTGATATGCTTCCTTCCGGCGACAGGTACACCTCAGTCTTGATCGGGGGCTTAACTGCCTGTATTAAGGTCTTTAATTACCCTTCTTCTTAAGCCTGAACATCGCGAGACTGACACCTAATCAAGGCTACACTGGAGCACGAAGCAATTGCAGAGTTAATCTCCGACTGTCTTGAAAAGCTCTCTGATAAGACTTACAAGCTGTCCAAAGCTATTCGAAACTCGAAGCAAAACGATTTCATTAGAACCCACATTGTGAAGTTCTATAAGACGTTATTTGGGCTCTTGGTTTCAATACTCGACCACTGGTTACTTTCACGAGCTAAGCGCTTCAAGAATAGTCTCGGGAGCAGTTTCCAAAATCAGCTTCAATGCTCGATGAACGACCTTGACTATCATGTGAAGCAATTGAGTGAAGAGAATAACTCCATAATGATGGAAAATATGTGTTATGATTTGGGACAGTTGGTTCAGGCAATCATCGTTGGCGGGTATAGTGAGTCATGGCCGACTGCCACCAACGCCAGTAATCAGTTTAGGACGCCTGGTCAAGTTTTGGCGGTTTCTGAGAGCCCTTCTGCCGCTCCATATGTCATTCGTGGTCTGCCTGATATCCCTGAATCTAAATTAGCAGCAAGCGTGGCGCCAGGCATACAAGACAAACACAATGACCATTACTGGTCTACTCAGACCATTTTGGAAGACACAGCATGGATGAAAGAATATGTCTGTTTCGAAAGGGAGGAAAATCTACTAGAGGAAAGCCTCTACGGATCCACAAACCCCCAGGTATACTCTCGTTTAGTGCACTGGGCTCAATCGAAGTCATCCGAGGCACTATGGCTTGAAGGCCCGGCAATAATGGCTGACACGACCCCAAACACACTGATAACAGCGCGCATTGTCGAAACATTCCGAAGGCTTCACGTCCCTATCGTTTCATTTTTCTGTGAATATGACTCGAGACAGTACAACACATTCTCCAATCCAGAAGAGCTATTGAAGATGGTGTACTCGTTGACATCTCAAATGTTAGCCTTCATTCAAGATAATCTATCCTCTGTCTATGATTCTGAAGATTTGCCGGATTTCTCTCCCGCTCGAATTCGTCGCCTTACTACGGATCCTAACTCGCTGCCCGACGCAATTGCTTTTTTGAAGGACATAATTCCCTTGGGACCACCGATCTTGGCCTGCTGCATTGATGGACTCCAAATCTTAGATTGTCCGGAACAGTCCCGTTGGTACCAAGATTGTTTGACGTCCTTCATTCAAGTTCTAGGAACGACCAAACCCCCTCAGCCGCGCATAATGAAGGTATGGTTTTCCACTGATGGATACTGCGAGGCCCTTCAGGTTGCCGTTAATGCCGGCTGGATTGAAGCCGATATTACAAATAGCGAGGACGACACAGAGCCTCTCGAGATAGATCACTTGATGTAGCCCAGGGGTATTTGGTCCTTTCTTTTGTATCCATATCACACATATCAGACACAATCTGGTTTGTGGGAGCATCTAGTGGAATGTGTTGATGGAGTCAGAGCAGCTTCCTTGGGTTGAGCAATATTACACAGACCTGTGGGTCAACCCTTACTCACATTTGCGGGAGATGTAGTAGATATCTACACTCCGTAGACTTATCCAGTAGAGAGAAAGCAAAGCAATGAACCACGGGGTTCTAGTATAGCCCACTCAAGGCTAGGTCAAGTGCCAGATAAGGTAGGTGTTCATCATGCTAACCCTACTCATCTGCTCGGAATATTACTCGGACTTCCTTCCAGGAACTTTTAGGTTAGACTTTAGACGGGAAATAATCTTATCGTTCACGGACAGCAGTCAGCACCAATTAGCATCGTGGAGATCAGCCAACCATGCAGATAAATCCCATTGGGACTGAGATGGTCTCTAACCTTCTTCACAATTATTTGTTTGATAAGACGACAAAGAGGGGCGTAAAATCAATTCTTTACTGCCAAGACCGTTGGCTCCCGTCAGATGAAGACACAGGTGCTTGCTTCTGTGTGTCTGATCTTTGCACAACGACCAAGTCGACAAACAATATTGCAGACATTCCTGAAAAAGTGAGGAGTGTGGTGCTGTGATTTCATCGGAGATGTTGATAATGAGGCTGTCCTCTTTCGATACAGTATTCGCTGAACTAGCATTCCTCGGTGGACCTGCCCTGTCTCATCCAAGCCCAAGGCATTGAATTGTTGTTCGTGCATACTCCGTACGTACTGGCGCAAGTAAGCGTGGGTATTCTCCATACAAGGTGTCATGGATAGCGAATAGCATCTAATAATGGGTTTTTACATTGCAATCGGTTAAATGAGGCCGACGCGGAATACCCCATTTGGACACCCGTCAATTCCAGGGATATAATTCAGAGGCTGAAGGTCATGCCAACTCAACTGTATCAAGTGGGGTACACTGCACTGCGTGTGACGGAGCTACCTAGCGTGCACTAGCTGGCTGCCTCGCACTGGCGGCGGCGTGTTGCATCTGACGCATATCATTCAGAGCGCGATTACTCTTTCTGGTAGGGAACTCCTTCCTTCCTCCCTATTTTTCTCTTTACACCCAATTAATGTCTCGCAGGGTACCTCGGGGCTTGGAGAAATATTACCACAGAGTCAAGGAATTCATGGGAAATCATCAGTTAAGGAAAACTGCCCGAGTGTATCTCTTTTCAATGGGGGAATGTCGACCCCGAACGCAAGGCTGCCCGACGCATGAGATGTGACAGATTGCTATGAATGTAGCGGGGTTTAGTGACACCCGCATGAAGTTCTTCCTTCTGTGGATCTGTCTCATCTTAAGCCTAGGCACGTCTCTAATCAAGTCTATTCTTATAAACAGCCAAAAATAACCCACATGATTCTCAAATGGTCAAAGGTAATGCTTTGGTTTCCTTATATCATGCTAATAGCAAAACGAGAATATCACAACTTTATGATAATTGTTTCTCACGCACTGTCCCTACATGATTATACAATCAGATCCACGATCCCATATCTCGTCTCCTCCCGTGTTGTCTGGGTTCATCTCAAATGATGGGAATGAGGTAGCCCTATATGCCATTAATATAGGCCTTTTCAAGGGACAGACAAACAGACAATGGACTCACACACTTGCAGTCATAGTCATATCAAATCAAGTGATTGTGAGGTTGCCACCCCTTGCATCGCCGCCCTTTGCAGCGCCCCCGGCATTCGCTCTGGCATTGCCTCCCGTACCTGTCATCCTGATGTTGGCATCCGCACGGCCCGCCGGCATCTGAATGTTACCACCGGTGCCGTTACCGCCGGTGACAGTTTGGCCGCTTCCTCTCCAGCATCCAGAATGTGCATCAGCATTACCACCGGTTCCAGAAGTATCGTATTCGGGTCTGCGGTTGGGGGCGGTCATGGTAGCTAAGATTGTTCGCGTAGCAGTAGACAGCAGTAGATGGTTGGCTTTGATTAGGGAAATTTCTGTGACGGCAGGGAAAGAAGGAGTATTTATGTTGCTTCGAAGCCATTATCGGTTCTAGCTATCGTAGGCATGTTTGGTAGGAGGAAACATACATCGCTGGATCAACTTCTACGTGACCTGCACCTCGTATTTAGCGTAGGTGTAAAGAACGAAAATAGAAAGAAGAGAAGAGAAGAGAAAAGATATTTCCATACGGAAGAAAAAGGAAGGAAAAAGGAAATAAGCAAATATGCTTCTCATACGCAATCTTACGCAGCATCTGCTTCAGGAGCAGGGGTCATATTGCGCCTTGTTCATGGCGATATTCCGGTTGGACAAGGGAGTCTGCGGAGAATCATTGGCTAGGGGAATCCACTCGGATGTATCTTTTTTTCCAACGACGGAGATGTCGACCTCAACGCAAGGCTGCCCGATGTTAAGTACCTCACGGGGTTGATAATTTATCTCTTGAACATGTCTCGTCTTAAACTCAGCCGCGTCTTTGATCAAGTCCATTTTCACAAGCTGATCGGAAACCCTACGGGATTTGCAAAATGTCGTCACCTGGACTTTATGATATGAGTGGAGATAAGGAGGCAGAGACTGTGTAGGTTTGCGAGAACCACTCGACTTCCATCCCGAGCAGGCTAATGGAGTCAAAGCATTGTTGCCGTGCATGGACTTGGCGGGGACTATCTCAAGACATGGGAGTGTGAGATCAACGGGTGGAACTGGATTCGATCATCAATCGAACCGAGGCTCCAACAAGAAAAGGGCATCAAATCACGAGTCCTATCATTTTCGTATGCCGCGAAATTGATGTCCACCGAGTCGACCGAGAATATCAGACAAGTGGCAAAGGTCTTGTTGGAAGGACTGTACGTGAAAATGAACGAAATGAAGCACAAAACCCTCGGTATAGTTTTCATTGCTCATAGTTTGGGAGGCCTCGTTGTGAAGAAGGTATTTTCTCCTTATTTGATTCCCCCGAAAGTCCCATCTATCACGAAAGGCCTATATGGGTATTCTGAACTGAATACCCGCTTCTATATAGGCATTGAACATTGCCTCTTCCATTCACAATAAGCGATATGAGCATCTTTCCAGCAGCGTACGAGGTTGTCTCTTCCTCGGCGTACCGCACCATGGCGCGGGTCTAGCATCCGTGGCAGGCTGGGGGTCCTGGCTTTTGGGCCCCTTCAAGAGGTCCAGTTACGTAGAGGACCTTCGTAAAGACTCCCCGGCTTGTCAGGAGATCAGCGAGGACTTTGTTCAAACCGCCAAAGACTTGAAGATTAGGACATTTTACGAAGACCGGCGGCTGAACGGTTTACTTGTGTGACGCCCTTCCCCGGTCAGATGAGAGCACTGGTAGCTGACTCGCGGATTCAGGTGGTTCAACCATATTCTGCGCAAATGAATCAGCTAAGCGAGGTTGCGACGATGCTACAAGGATCTGACCACCGTACGATTTGCAAATTCCGCGGAGACGACGATGTACGGTACGGAGAGGTATGGGCAGCGTTGGTTGAAATCGTCTCATTCGAAAAACCGAGTATGTTTTACCTCCAGAGATCCCCGTGCAATGGACGCTGATATGGTACTAACCTGTTCCATAGATATAGTTCCTGGTGATTTGCCAGGCCCAGACCCCTCGACCTACGAGGCCAATGCGGGATCTGGGGATGGAGGCTACGCAGACTACGGGGATAGCACGGGAGGCAGGATTACGGAGGCTTCGGTCAGCCCGGAAGAGTCTCTCGGGGGCCACGGATCTGGTGGAAGTGCCAATGGATACCACCACGCTATTGCAGGGGGCGCTGAGGGAGGTTCGGCATGTGGAAAGAATGCTCGGGGAGGAAATGCAAGGGGAGGAAAGGCTACACTGGCTAAACAGAAGCCAAGCCACAATTGATTTTGACTAAATCTTAGATCTTGCCCTATCTAACGCCTAAAGAGCCTCTCCTTCATCGATCGGCTCTCCTCCTGTTTATGAAAATTCCCCGATACCGCTAGACCCGCCGTCGCTTTTCCATGCACGTTGTTCGCACCTCCCCCAAAGCCATCCCCGCCCGCCCCATAGTCCCCCCAGGCATCTCCTCCAGTTCCACTGCCTCCCTTGGATCTCCCCGACGGGTAGAACATGCCGCCGGTGGCGTGGCCTCCATGGGCGACGGCCTGCTTGCTGCTGTTGGATTCCGCCTCGCCTCCCATACCAAAGCCGCCAGTGGCGACGATTGCCTTGGTGTTGTTAAGAATGACCAGAGTGTCTCCGGGTTTTAGAACCTCTCCAATCGGAGCGTACAGGTTGGTGAGCTTTTTGTGGTTGTGGTAAAGAGTCAGTTCTCCCTTGAGGCTTTGAGTGGTCTGTATATAGGCCTGCAACTGTCGGAGTGTCATGTCATCCTCTTGCTTCACCTTAACGTCTCTGTCGCTGGAATCGGCTGTTGGGTCCTTATTGTTATTATCATGGAACTTGAATGACCAGATAGGGAATTTGCACTTGCCGCCTTTGATAACGCAGGTGAATTCGATCTCATTGGCTTCGTCGTACTTCCCCATTTTGGCTGAAAGAGCGTGAATTGGGGTTTGTGTAGTGGGCCTTGGTTTAGACCCGGAGAAAAGGTTTGATGTGTCGTGTTGCGATTGCTTTCTTTTGAGGCAGAGTTGCTTCTTATTCCAGGGACATGGGTGGGGAGAGAGTAAGCTTTTATAGCCAAGATTGGGGTCCATTGCCTTACCTACCCTTTCCTAAACTACTATCAGAGCTCAACATACACTTGAGGAAGGTACATACTCTAGTCTTTTCATAGCCACCGGGTCGGTATCTGCAATCTGCGCCCCATCTAAGGCTCGATCTCGGCCTGAAATGCCTTTCTAGTAGGCTCTGACGTGCAGTTCGATACTAGTGTAAAAACCAATAACAGTCCTCCACTTGGACCAAAGAAATGGACGGCAAGACGTCGGGATTTCACCGGTCAATTGAATTGTACTTTGCAGTTGATCATTCTAGCCTGAGATATGGTGATGGCGGGTTGCCAGGCGACACATCACCTACAGTAGGGTTAAATTTAGACCCTAATTTCATTCTTTTTCGGGATTACCCAAAGAAGAAATAGACATTCAATGCAAGAGAGCTTTTGTATGCATGATGTAGATAGAGTCAGTAATAACAGTATCACGATGTAATTTACAGACATGTACCATGTCTATGCAATTCGAAGTCCTTCTTAGGCATCAGCACTCTAACATGTCACACAGGTCAAGATCGACCCCGCAGTAGTACCCGACTCGTGTGTAGTATATGTGATCAGTAATGATTTGCTGAGCTGGCGGATAATGTATATACTAGGCACCGTCTCGCAGGCTGACCTGTTGGTGGGTTGCCAGGCAATCCTAAACCGTGATTTCTTTTTCCGGGTAACTCAATAGAGAAATAGAAATTCCGTTATGAAAGAGAGTATAATTTACTATGCGATCTATAGTCTCATATCTATGCAAGGCGGAGTCCCCCTTCTCACATCCAACCCCGCCGTAGCCTATTCTTGTGTATACTGCGTATGTGATCAGGTAATGGTTTACAGAGCTGGCTGATAAGACACATATGTAGGCACTACCTCACATGCCGACCTGTCAATCAGGCAATGAACAACAGGCAATATCCGAAGCCTGAGCATAGGAATCTTATATTCAAATCTAGCTACAGAATCACAACTTTCGGACCAGTCTCACTGCGGTGAACAACATGAATTACACCCCACCCTAAGCACAAGTGCTGCTGTCGTATTCCCGCCCCATCCCCTCAGCAGAGAGGCCGATCAGTCGATTGGTTCCCTCCTCAACAATCAGCTCAAAGATATGGATCCTCCCGAACCATTTCCCCCCGATACAGTCGATGAATCATTCCGACCCGCCGTAGTTGTGGTTGTTGAGGTAGCGCTTCCACCACTGCCGTTGCTTGTGATGTCTCCGGTGTGGAAGCTCTTGGTGCCGTTATTATGGTAGGTCACTGTGTTTCCGCAGTTTGTGTTGGTGGTGTTTCCACAATTGCTTGACGTCGTGTTGCCACAGTTATTGTTCCAAGAGAAGCTGTTCCCGTTACTGCTCGGGGCCCAAGGCGCGTTGGTCCAAGCCCATGGATTTGTGTTGCCTGAATTGTTTCTCGTAGAGCTCGAAGTATAATACGGGTTCGACATGTTGTGAGAAAGACAAATTCAATCTAAGTTTTAAAATGAGTAGGCGAACAAGCAGGTCAGCGAGAAATATATAGGTGTAGAACAAATGTTCTAGAGGATCAAGCCGGCAGGGAAACGCCGCTTTATATACCCTGTGCCATCCTTTGCATGTGTCCGTGTCACACCGCATTCCCGCCATGCAGTTTTGCTAATGGCAGGTCTTGGGTGGTTCGGACTGCAGGTCCCGATGTATAGAGAGCATAGAAAGGACTGCACACATAGAGTAATACTTTGTGTGTTAATGCAAAGGAGTTCGTTTAATATACTCTTCTTATTTGCTAGTGATATAGAGGAAACACGATCCACCAGGTAGATCAAACTGTATTTGATATACGGCCATGATGGTTTTCATCTAACTCTAGGGAAAGGCTAATAGTCTTCAAACCGCTGCATGGAAACCACATCCTTAAGCCAATGAAGATCAATTTAGCTCTCGATAACTATTCACAGAGAACAATGTATTATGTTGAGGCGCGCCCTGTAGTGAAAGCAAGCAAAACAGCAAAGAAACTAAAGAATACAGCAAAGGTTTGTTGTTTTGACTATCTAGAGTATACAGTCAAATAAACAAACCAATATGAGTACTTGTAATGGCAGTTTAGATACTAACTATATAACCAAGCTTGGAGTAGTTTACTAAGCTCATGTTAGCGGACCGCATTATTATAATGGGGCGGACCCTTTTTTATGGGTTAAGCTTATCCCATCTTCAAATCCTATTTTTCCCTCACTGTTTTCTCTCATTTCCACTCATGGCCGATCTCCCAATCTTAATATTTTTAAAGTCCGCTTTGCTTGCATGATTCCTTTTATCAATTCTAACTTATTCCCCACTTCACCTTGGCTAAGCTCTTGCCAAGAAAGCCATCTCATCTCCAGGGCTTAAGTACCGAGATGATTTTGAATAATCTCTCACTCTGTCCCACCAGCATCCTTCAGGATCCTTGGTAAAATGTCAACCTTTACCGCCTGGCAGGCTGATCTGTTCCTTCTGGTTAGACTTATTGCTCAGCGATTAGATGTATGTTTTGACGATATTCCAGGAGCAATGGCAAGAAGACTCGCCGCTATCCGTTGATGACCAACGCGAGGAAATTTTCGCTAAATATGTGGCACTCGGAGTCTACGGTCGCGAGGTTATTTAATTTTGGCCCTTCATTCCTCCGACCAGGAAACTAACCTATCGGATTAGCCGTATCGAAACCAGCAGCGAAGACTAGAGAAGAGGTCTGTTCGAGGCCTTCCAGCACCTAGTCAAGAGCTATTGGATCGTATCCGTCTACCTGCTGAGCGTGACTTGAACGATGACCCATGTTGGCTCCGCACCTGCTACGGCCCTTCTACAGAAGGCTCGTGGGCCCGGATTCAAGAGTACATCGATACCAAGGTCGGCGGCTCAGTTACAGTTTTCAACGACTCATCTTTGTATAACTTTGGTTCGAACTGGGAGAAGATTTTTCTTCGTGTCCCACAGCTACTGGATAATACTTGTTTGTTCGAAGAATACGAAGAGAATGTCCAGGAGGTCCTAGAAGAGGGAGTTGAATCCGACGAGACGGATCCCCAGCGTGCCGAGGAAAGTGGCTATGACCCAGAAGAGGATGGCAACCCTTGGATTTGCTTTTATTCGGAATACCTCTTTCGCTTAGCGGCGGGACACATCTACATCGTCGATGAAAGGACGTTGGCCTCCGAAGGCCCTGACGCAGGGACTGTCCTCATCATCTGGTACGACGAGTGTGGACGAGCAATCCGTTACTATCGCGAGAAAGCGATGCACGCAGCCGAAATTGCGAATCTCGACCCTTGTTATCTCAAGGAACGTGCGTGCTGGAATAATGCCGAGACTGGCGAATCCTATAAGTGGGGTGCACCCTTAGGACCTCCTTATAGCTTGACCAAAATCGCGGAGAAACCTCTGAGAAGGAGATTTCATCTCCATGGGCTCACCTGAAATACAGCCGACTATTTAAGCTTCAATTTGCACAACAAATACATACCCTCTGAAGCTGGACATCAGCCGCCCATTTATAACCTCATGTGTGAAAGAAAAGAAAAAAACTAAGAATTTTATCACGTTGTTGATGCTTAACTGATTCTCGTGAGCTACCGAGCCGGGTACGTGAAGTCTACAGCAACATAATTACTGATAGGATATCCTACTTTACTCTGTTTATAGAGTGACAATGCAGGGCTTCAAGTAATAGATAGGAGTGAACAATGATGGTATTTCGAATTGGATAAATCATGCCATAGAAGTCTGTCTGTAGCCATGGAGTGTATTAAGAGGAACAAAAGTCTATTCACATAGTACCGGCCATTCATTCAGACAAGGAACTGACGCTTGCTAGAAGCTCTTGATGTCCTGTGCCCTCCGGTAACTGAATATGTTAGGTCTTCTCCGACGGCAGCGGCTTGTTAGGGTTCCAAAAGTGGAGATTGAAAGAAACGACCTCAAATTGTGCTGTCGGGTTCCATTTCCCTCAACCGAATAATGCCTACAGACATTCTCTGGTTGACTAGCATTGACTCCCAACATGTTTTTATCATAAAGGGTACATACCTATACGTGTTTGCAAAATGGCTGTGAGCAAGAAAATAAATGGTTCACAGAGCAGCTTCCCCTTTACATCCGAACACTGACAGGCCGACGCCGCGATAATGTCTATGAGAGTGTTCTTATTTATGAAATTGCTTTCCAAGTATTCGGTGACTTCGCAACATCTCACATTCATCAAAGTATACACGAACAAACACCAGCCCTAGATACAATCTTTTAAGAGTGTCCACTAGCCGGCCGACGGTTCGCCAATGGGAAAGATTCCCGCTACTGGGAGCAGCCGAGGGAAACACACCGGAAGGGAAAAGCCTCCACTGCGGAGCTAACAGGGCTGCTAAAGACCCTGTGGTTCCAATTGTGCCTTTTCAACCCTTTTCTTTGCCCATATCAGAGCACTTTCTCATCGCCACATTGGCATCCAGTCAGACTTGGGCTCATGGGGGTAGCCGTATGCTCAAATTAGTTCCTCATTCCTCGTCTGACCTCTACATTATATCCTAGTTGGGCACCTTGGGCTTAAAATTCTTTCTGTGTGTTTCTCATTAGCCGGCAACCCCCCGCTCATCCTGCATTGCAAATAGAGGGGTGAGATCACGCACATACGATTAGGCCCCTTATAGCCGAACGGTCTGCGGTAGCTCGATACCTTTTCTATCGTCGGGAGGGCGATAAAATGAGGTCTTCCGCCGATTTAGACATAGAGAAGACGGACGGAACCCGTGAAAGCAACAACATTCCAACCTTGCCTGGTTCTCATGGTACATATTCTCCCCAGTTTGGAGAAAAGGTCCTGGATGGTACAACCGACACTCGTGAGTATCGTGATTCTTATGATGGAAGTCCAGCCATCAACGTGACGGAGGAACAGTCTCATATACGGGACCAAACCGATTGCACCCTACCGCAGACAGAGGCTACGCTTGAAGATGGCCTCCAGAGACCCTCGTCTGGAGCGTCTGGCTCAGACAGCTCCGCACACAGCGCCCCGATGACTCGAGTCACAACGGATGCAGATGGAAACACTTATCCTGAAGGCGGATTGGAGGCCTGGTTGGTAGTCTTTGGTAGTTTCATGGGCCTCTTTGGCTCCCTTGGCTTAGTGAACACCATTGGAACTTTCCAGGCCTACATCGAGGATCATCAGCTGAAAGAATACAGCTCTGGAACCACGGGCTGGATTTTTGGCATGTACGCCTTCTTGACCTTTTTCTGCGGTGTACAGATAGGGCCAGTTTTCGACGCCAAAGGTCCTCGATTTTTGGTCTTTTCGGGCGCCGTACTGGTCGTCGTCATGATGGTAGCTTTGGGTTTCTGCACCCAATATTGGCATTTCATGCTGGTCATCGGTGTCGCTGGAGGAATTGGAGCCTCGCTCATCTTCACCCCTGCAATAGCCGCGATCGGCCATTTCTTCAACGAGAAACGTGGCGTTGCAACTGGCATTGCTGCCACAGGTGGCTCCGTAGGAGGAGTTGTCTTCCCTCTTACCTTGGAGGCCTTGTTCCCCAAGATAGGTTTCGCATGGGCAACCCGGGTAGTTGCGCTTCTTTGCCTTATCTCAGTGGCCATTGCGTGTCTGCTGATCAAGTCCCGGTTGCCCAAAAAGCCCGCTGTAAAGGAGAACATGCTGCCCGACTTTCGTATTTTCCGGGAACCAAAATTCGCTCTTACCACAGCTGGCGTCTTTTTTATCGAATGGGGCCTCTTCATTCCGATCAGTTACATCTCGTCCTATGCCTTGGCTCATGGCGTTTCCTCCCAATTCTCGTACCAGATCCTGGCGATCCTCAATGCGGGTTCATTCTTCGGTAGAGGGATCCCTGGGTTTGTGGCCGACTATCTGGGACGGTTCAATACGCTCATCGCCACAGTTGCGTTATGCCTCGTCTGCAACGCGTGTCTCTGGCTTCCGGCCGGCAATAGTGTACCTGTCATGGTTGTGTACTGCGTTATTTTTGGTTTTGCAAGCGGCAGCAACATCAGTCTGACCCCTGTTTGCATTTCTCAGCTGTGTAAGATCGAGAATTACGGCAGGTACTATGCTACCGCGTACACGATTGTGAGTTTCGGGTAGGTTGCCATGTACCTGTCAGGGTTTCCACAAGTATGAGCTAATAACCTTCTACAGCACGCTTACGGGCATTCCAATCGCCGGAGAGATCCTGTCGCGATGCAATGGCGAGTACTGGGGCTTGATTACCTTCACGACTTGCTGCTACGCTCTTGGCCTCGTCTGCGTCACGTTGGTCAAGGTAATTCACGTTGGCTGGCGTCACCCACTAGCGATATACTGAGGGAATAACATCCGAATCGGGCATCCATGGCTATCTATGCGACAAAATGAGCAATTTACCTGCCGCTACTGACAGAAGAAACAACAAAACCTTACCCACTATTGTCTAATAGACTCACGAACCTAACGATCCCCATGACATGTCAAGACATGGAATCTAGAGCGGTCCAAACATGGTACCGTCAAAACTCTTAGCTTAAGCCTGGCCTGTGGCTATCTGCCGCACATCAATGTCTAATCCTTACAAAATCACTCAATGGACCCATTAAATTGAATAGCGTATTGCCATCTAGCCCAGAAAATAAACCGACTAGAACAACCACCAAAACCAATCGTGAGGTGACCATAGACCCTAAATCTCTGGTGTGCGGCGTCACCATGATAGCGCCATTATCGTCTAGAACCCCCATGACATCTATCAAGCATCATGCCGTTAAATTTCACATGACTATATAAACCCTCTTCAATCTCCTCTTCATCTGCGACGCTTCAAGCCAGGTCAATTGCATTCTCTTCTCTTCCTTCACAGGCAGACCCCTCTCCTTCTCTCGTTTCTTTCTTCTATACTAAACCCATACATCAAAGAAAGCAATCCACCATGTACCTCCGCACCTCCATCCTAGCCCTGGCCCTCGCGTCTGCCGCCCTCTCCGCCCCCGTCGACACCGTCGACAATGGCAACGCCGCAGCCAGCGTGCCCGCTCCCACCGCAGCCCCTGGCCAACCCGGGGATGTCAGCGCCGCCAGCATCCCCGGCCTCCCAGGCATCACAGCCACCGTGACCATCACCATCTCGCTGCCCTGCGCCGGTGTCACCGCGACCATCGGCCCCGCCGACAAGGGCCTCGAGGCTCGTGCCACAGACGCAATTCCTAGTTCTAGTGCCTCTGCCTCTGTGATCAAGCCTACCAGCAGCAGCATCAGAGCCCTGTCTACCTGCGTGGCCTCTCCGTCTTCCACTGGCGCCGTAGTGTCTGGCTGTGCTGACGACGATGACGACGATGACGATGACGATGAAGACGACGACGACGATGATGACACTGACAATGGGAATGGGAATGGAAACGGCCCCTCGTTCATTCGAAAGCCCATTCAAACCACTACTTCCACTAAGACATCCGTGACTTCAGTCCCTACTGCTACTTCGACAACCTCACAGAAGACCACTGACTCCGCGGACCCATCTACATCAGCAACTACCCCTGCCATTCTACTCCCCTCTCCAACTGAGAGCTCCTCAAAGGGAGGCGATAGCACTACCACCAGCACCACCACAGATGCCACATCCAAGACAAAGACCGACACTGGTCCCTCATCTACATTCCTCACTCTGCCTTCCCCTTCATCTTCGTCTTCAGCAGCAGACAAATCCAGCAGCAGCACCACCACGACAGAGAAACAATCCCAGGACCCATCAGCTACTGCTACAGCTAGTGACTCCACATCAGCCTCCGAAACCAAAACCAAACAAGCCACCACAAAGTCTTCTCAGGACCCAAGCATCACTTCTACATCCACATCCACCTCCACAACCGAATCCAAGACTACCCCCACAACCACCACAACCAAGAAATCCAAGATCAGGCGCGGATTCGCAGCAAATGCTACCGGGATCATTGAGGTTCCGCCGTTGAAGCCGAAGCCTACTGGTGGTCGGTGAGCGGAGGACGAAAATGGGTATAAAAATTAGTTGTTAGGTTTCATGTTTTTTTTAGGGGTAAACGTAGAGGGGATGATGGCATAGGAGGGGAAGGATTGAAGAAGTATTTGCTAAGTTGGTAGTTAGTTAGGTAACATCATTTTTGAAAGCTTGGAGATTAGGATAAAATCAAAACTTGTTTGTTGGTTGCTTGGTATATCATATTCCTCATGCTTTTCTTAAGTCTAGCTTGCTAGCTAGATTCAAATAGTCTTAGTCTTTTTTTGGTTCGACTTCATTCATTCTTTCGGTCTTTTGGGGGAGGCATGGTGGGTATAAAAGGTAGGTACGTAGACAGTGGTTCTTGATTTATTATGTGCTTGGTTGATAAGAGTCTCTCTCTCTCTCTCTCTCTCTCTCTCTCTCTCTCTCTCTCTCTCTGTCTGTCTGCCTGTGTGCTTTGGTTGGTCGTGAAGAGAGTAAAATAAATGTGTGCTGCGTTTTACTTCAGATGAAATGATTCAAATTGCGCCTGATTCTACCTACTTAGCTACCTAGCCACCTGATTGCTTTTGCTCTAATGGATACCACAAGAAAAGATACCTTCCTTGAACCAACGTCCCTACTACAAGGGAAGAGTGTCGGCATACGCCGACAGTATGAAAATGAAAAATAGTAGGGAAGAAAAGGAAAAGTTATGGCTGATTCAGGTCTTCCTGATCCCCAACCAAGGGGCTCATCTGCTAGTGTGAAAAGATTAAATACAATACAAATAGGAAGGAGAAGATGACTCGGGTCGCAAAAAGCATGCGTTAGAAGGGGGAACGAGTTTAGATGAGAAGAGAAAAAAGAGCTGCCGGGCAAATAACTGGAACATATGCAAGAGAATTTCCGCAAGCAAAAGCAGAAGGATGCTGGCTCCCTTGACCATTGCTTGACTCGCCCGTATTTGTCTTCATTCCATGCCGCAGGTTTATATGAAGAAACCCCGCCTGTGGTTCCTTGCGCCAAACACCTTACACCAGAGGTTTACTGGCATAAACAGTAACAACCGAAATCAAAACACACTATAGTATAGGCAGATGAGAAAGGGAAGAAGAGAGAGGCAAAATGAGAAATGCCATGGCTCGGCTGTCGACAATGTTACCAGCGACAAACGTATGCAAAAGCAGGAAAATCGACCGAGAAGCTGGGAAAACGAAGCGAAAGCGGAAGGCGTATGCGGTAGGACATAAGATGTAAGCTTCCCCGAAGGGAAACTGAGAGGAATAAAACGAGATGGGGTGCCAAGAACAGGTCACCAGGCCAAAGAACATTTCTTACAGGCGCAGCATAAAGAGATAGGGTATAAGGTTTGCATCGAAGCCATTCGGAAAGATGAAAGGAAAACAAGCGAAAGGATATCTTGTGAGCGTCTCACGAGCTGTTGGACCGCAGCAGTGCCTGGTAGAACCCGTTAGTATGACAAAGGGCCTTTTCGCAACTGTGCAGGTGCAAAACTCACCCTTTCGACCGCAAGCTCATCCGCTCGGTCATTTGGGCTTGCGAGGCCACCACCACGATTAATGGTACTGGTTGCGGTCACGGATCGAGGTTCCAAACCCGGGCGCTGTTGGCTCTTGCCATCAGGCCCACTGTGATGGACCGGGTGCATTTCACCACTACTTGAGATGCGCGACTCCTTGCTCTTCTCCAAAAGGGAACCACCTAACGTAGCACATTTGAGGATGGTCTGCATCATCTGGTTCTGCTTCAGAGGTTTCGACAGGTATTCATCCATCTGGGCCTGGATACACTTCTCTCGATCACCCAACATGGCGTGTGCAGTTAGCGCGATGATCGGTGTCCGGCTGAGACCACTTTCCCTCTCATACTCGCGGATCTTGCCAGTGGCTTCGAAGCCACCCATGACTGGCATCTGGACATCCATCAGAATAACATCGTAGCGCCGTTGCTTTACGGCTTCTACAGCCTCGAGACCGTTGCTGACGACAGAAACGTTGTGGTTGTGTTTCTCCAGTATCTTCACAGCCAACTTCTGATTGACGTCGTTGTCCTCCGCCAGGAGGATGTCGAACGACCGGGAGTGGTCCGTAGTAATGGGTGTAGACCGTCCCTCAAGAGCAGGCAGCATACCATTACCGAGATCAATTGGCTGACACGGCGTGGTCATATAGGAGCTGATACCGAGGTCGAGGGCAGACTTCAAACTGACGCAAACCAGCGGGCATACCAAGACAATAGGAACGTACTTGAAGTCATCGAACGTCCGCAGCAGCCGAGCAGTGGCCACCGAGTCCACGATTATCACATCATAGGCGTGGCCGGATTCTTTGCCGGACGGGTCCTGGATCTCAGGCGGCGGGACATGATCCTCGTTCCGCACCACTAACGGTTCCAGGTCGATCTGTTTGAGCATCTTCATCACATTCTCGGCCTGGCCACCATTCTCGCCCTTGTCGATGAAAAGGACACGGTGGTTTTTGTACGGCATCAGCTGCGAGGCGATGACGCTCAAAGACTGGTCTGCCAGTTTGACAACGCAGGTGAAGTGGAAGGTACTGCCATGGCCATATTCGGAAGTGACCCAAACATCACCACCCATCAGGTTCACTAGGCGCTTGGAGATGGACAGACCAAGACCCGTTCCACCAAACCTCCTGGTAGTCGATCCGTCGGCCTGCTGGAAGGTGTCGAAGATGAGGTCTAGCTTGTCCTCCTCAATACCGATACCTGTGTCGGAGACGGAGAATTCGAACGCATATTCATCTGCCGCGCACTGCTCTCGATCAGATTTGCAGATGGTGAGCTTGACCTCGCCGTGCTCGGTGAACTTGATGGCGTTGCCGACAAGATTGAGGATAATCTGCCGCAGACGGAAGGGATCACCGATGACATAGTCAGGAACGGTGTTGTCCACCTGGTACGTCAAACTCAGGAACTTCTCATTAGCCTTGACGGCTAACGTCTTCAGGGCGTTGAAGACGGTTCCCCTCACGGTGAACGGGATGCTCTCGATCACCATACGGTTCGCTTCGATCTTGGAGATATCGAGTATGTCATCAATAATGGTGAGCAAGCTGTTTGCCAGGTTGTGCACGACATTCAACATCTCTCGAGTATACGGCTTGAGATCATCAGTGTCCAAGGTCAACTGCGTCATCCCGATGATACCGTTCATGGGCGTCCGGATCTCGTGACTCATGTTCGCAAGGAACTCGGATTTGGTGCGGTTGGCCAATTCTGCAGCTTCCCTGGCAGCCGTGTTACGTTGGATACTGTCTCGGAGGTTGGAAACCATCTTGTTGATCTTCCGCTTCAACTCATCCATTTCGCCGGATGCGTTGACCGTGATGAGCTTGGTGAAATCGCCGTCCGTGGCGGCATCCGTAATCTCACCGAATGCGCGCACCTGCGACGTCAAGTTTTCGGCCATGGTATTGACGTCTTCTGTAATCTCCTTCCATGTTCCAGCGATTCCTTCGACGTTAGCTTGACCACCCATCTTGCCGTCCACCCCGACATCGCGGGCCACCTTCTTCAGTTCAGTTGCAAATTTGGCCAGTCGGTCAACCATGTGGTTGATGGTGACCTTCAACGTGAGTATTTCTCCTTGTGCATGGACCTCGATCTTCTTGCTAAGGTCACCCTTTGCAATGGCTTGCGTAACGTCTGATATACTCCGCACTTGGGAGGTCAGATTCTGGGCCATGGTGTTCACGTTGTCGGTTAGATCCTTCCATTTTCCTTCCACATTATCAACCTTGGCTTGACCGCCCAGTGTACCATCCGTGCCGACTTCACGTGCGACCTTGCTGACTTCGAAGGCAAAGGTATTTAGCCGGTCCACCATGCCGTTGATCGTGCTCTTCAAATCCAGGATTTCACCTTGGACATTCGCCGTCACCTTCTTTGTCAAATCACCCTTGGCGACGGCGGTGGTCACGTCGGCGATCTCCCTGACCTGAGTGGTCAGGTTGTTGGCCATACGGTTGACATTTTCGGTTAGATCCTTCCATGTGCCCTCCACATCGTTTACGGTGGCTTGACCACCCAGGACACCATCCGTACCGACCTCCTTGGCGATCTTGGTGACTTCTTGTGCAAACTGCCGTAGTTGGTCAACCATGGAATTGATGATATTCTTCAACTCTGCGATCTCCCCCTTGCAGTTCGCCTGAACCTTCTGCGTCAAGTCACCCTTCGCCACAGCCTTGGTAACCGTGGCGATATCTCGCACTTGTGTCGTAAGATTGTTCGCCATGGCGTTGACATTCACCGTGAGTTCGTTCCACATGCCTTGTACCCCTTCGATTTGGGCCTGTCCACCAAGCACACCTTCCGTACCGACGTCACGCGCGACGCGGGTGACCTCCGTTGCAAATGTTCTTAGCTGGTCCACCATGGTGTTGATCGTCTGTTGCAGTTCCAAAATTTCACCCTGAGCCCGGCTTTCGATCTTCTGGCTCAGGTCACCGTGGGCGACCGCTGTCGTGACCGCAGCGATTTCACGGACCTGATCGGTGAGATTCTTGGCCATTATGTTGACGTTCTCCGTCAACTCCTTCCAGATACCATGCACCCCAGTGATCTGAGCCTGACCACCGAGTATGCCCTCTGTTCCGACCTCTCGGGCGACTCGCGACACCTCGCTACCGAAGACTTGTAGTTGGTCCATCATAGTATTGATCGTACGTTTAAAAGTGGCAATTTCGGGGTCCATCTCCAACGGGTGAATCTGCACCTTCATGGACAGGTCACCGTTTGCGACCTGGGTAATGATACCGCCGATTTCCCGGAGGGCCTTTTGGAACGCTTCGTTGGCCTGCTGGTGCTTGCGTAGCTCCCGCTCCAGCAAGACCACATCTTCATTTTCGACCTTGGTCAAAGCCCGTCGTGTTTGCTCCTCCTGTTGTTGTAATTCGTCACGGACCTGAGCAATGATATCCTTCTGGAAACTTATTTCCTCCGCTTGTTTTTGGACATGATTCCGTAGGTAGCTGATATCCTCCTCGCGTACCAAACGTGTCCTTGAATTCAGTTCCTCATCTTCATCACTCTCCTCATCATCGATGTCTTCCTCCACTTCGTGGTCTTCCGGTTCGATGGCCGATCGCCTGGATCCATGGGGTGGTTGTTGTGTTTTTTGATGCTGTGAGAGGCAAGAGTCAGAACCGTCACGGGACGAAACACGAGAGAGACCAAAGGACCAGAGGAAATCAGCGTCCTCCTCGCCGGGAGTGAGAGAGGACTGAGAGGATTTGGGGGTTGACTGGTGGTGACTGACATTTTGGAATTCCAGATGACGGACTCGTCGGACCAAAGCTTCCAACTCCTGTTCAAAAGCCGCCTTTGCCGAACTCGATTCCCCGGGGAGTTTTGCGAGTTTTGTGTCGTAGCCATTGGCGGGAGGGTGGGAGAATTCGAAGTCGAAGGGAGGAGCGCTAGAGGAAGGAGTTTCTTTCGCAAGACCTCTCAGGATGGCAGCAGCGGCCGCGAGCGTTTCGTCCGCGCCAGCCATTGTGCCCTAGGACGTCTCAGTAAATAACGGACATAAGTACATATGCAGGTCGTGAAGAGATTTCTGTTCGATCCCCGATGCGTCTAAAAGTTGCCACACCGCATGTGAGAAATATTCAAGGTGATAGAGAGGTGATAATAAAGATGGTGGCAAAATAATGGAAGATAAAAACTCAGAAAGCGCGTAGGATGAAAGACATGAGATGGAGATGGAGATGGGAGGGGAGATAGGAGGAAGGGCGAAAGTCTATCGAGAGGTGACGGGAGTCGACTCCGAAGATAATAAGATTTGGAGACACTTCAAAAGAGGGGAGAGATGTAAGAAAAAGGAAAACGGTGAACCCCCAGGAAAAATCCAACAAAAAGTTTTTGGGAAAAATCCAAAAGGTAAAACAAAATTATCGAGAAGCGGAGGTCAAAAAAGGGCGATGAAGGGGAATGAGGGGAAAGCAATCAATGAAGAATAAACGGGAATGGGAAAAAGGAAAAGAGGAAAAATGTGGATGTTGGACAATGATTGGACGGGTAATAAAAGGAAAGAAAGAAAAGGGAAATAGAAAAAAAAAAAAAAAAAAAAAAAGAGAGGTTCGGAGGAGTCGAACGCTGAGGAGGGGGGAGGAGGGAAAAAGAGGAGGGAAAAGGACCGCAGGGGAGGAGGAAGGGAAAGGCGATGAAAATCGAAATGGATGGATGGGAATGGGGGGAGAGAAGAGAGGGAGGGAGGGAAAACGGAAATAAAGTGGGAAAGCACAAGAATGGTATTCGAACGGGCAGGCTATGGATTAGCTTACCTGACGGGAAGCCGTGTTACTGACACACGAATGATCGGGCGACACTGCTAGGACGACATGGGGTGTCTTGTGGAGAGGGCGAGAGGTCGAAGAGGTTCAAGATCGGTGGGTTTGTGGTGGGCAAGGGGGGGGGTGTGTGGTTGTTGGTGGTGGTCGGGAAAGGCCTTGGGAACAGGACCAAGAAACCAGACGGACGGATAAGATTCAAGCGGGCAGGACAGTTGCAGACAAAGAAGGAAGAGTGCGTGAGCAGCTGAAAGGTCGGGCGGGGAGGAGGGAGAGGGAGACAGAGAGAGTGAGAGAGAGAGAGAAGGGGAGATAGAATGGGCACACGAAAGAGCACCGAAAGGGGGCAAAGTTCGGTTTGGACTGGAGCGGAGGGAGGGATTCGATCAGTCAGCGAGAAGGCGAAGGGAGAGCGTGAAATTGGAAAAGAGTGGGAGTTGTGAGTGAGAGGAAGACGAAAGTGTGAGGAAAGGGAAAATGAAGAAGCAAGCAGGATTTGGTTGTTTGTGTCGATGCTGCTTCTTTCCTCTGCTGCTGAGGAAGAAGGGGGGGGTGAGGGTGAGAGAGAGAGAGAAAGGTGGGAAAAGAGGCGAAAAGCCAGGAAAGTCTAAACTGCAGCAAATAATAATAATAATAACAGCGAGAATAAATAAAAAATAATAAAATGATAAAATAATAATAATGGGTGTTAAGGATAAGGGAGGATAATTATGTTCGCATGAAGCACAAAACGAACTTTCAGTGGACGGGAAGAGATGTGGGCGAGAAAGGGAAGAGAGCAAGCAAGCAGCAGTAGCAGCAGCAGCAGCAGTAACGAGATGGGGGGAGGAGAGGGGTTGGACCGATTTGATGGGATGGGATGAAATGGATGGATGGATGGATGGAGAATAAGGAATAGGAATGAATGGATGGTCGGATGGGTTTGGTCTGGTTTGGTTTGGTTTGGCTTCGCTTTGGTTTGGGTCTGGTTTTGTTGGTTAAAGTCAAGAGTCGGGTTGTGGCCTTCTGGCTGGCTGCTGGTCGCTACTTGCGAAGCTGGTAGCTGCTACTTACACTTCAAGGTACGCTAGTTAAACCTCTGCTATCGGTGGCTCTGTCTTCCCTTTTTCCTTACCTTTTCTCTGGGCCTGTTTCCCCTATTTTACTTTTTTATTTAATTCTAAACCTTTTGGGCCATTTAGTAGTTCTTATTTCCCACTGTCGCTAATTCTTGCCTTCACCCCAGGAATCAATTCTCAGTTTAGGTCTTCTGTCACTTCCAGTAGAATTCGACAGCAGTGGTAGTAGTACATATCGTTCGCATTTACTCAATATAATTAGACAGAAAGGATTAATAAAATCTGAAATATATCAAAATATCAATCAACAATAGAGCAAAGTAAAATGAAAGAAAAAAAACCCACACAAGAGAAAGAAACACCGCCCTAGAGGCGGTGATTCCCCAGCAGAAGCCGATGGCGAATCGCTCAGTCGGGAAAGAATCTACTTTTACTTGAGTAACTGGCCTGGCAAAGCTGGCAGCAAACCCAACCCAGTAGATGGATGCCTGAGGAACTTTTTTGGACTTTTTCAAAAACATCATTATTAGTGAACAGGACCGGAACTTTGCCTGCTTGGGTAAATACATGATTTAAAACCAAGCACTAAACTCTTAGACACCATACTATGTATTGACTGGTTAGGCAGGCACCAGGGACCACTAGTTGGGTAGAGTTTAGCGGCCTTCAGCGAGGCGTGCCTGGGTCCCCCCTCCGAAACCGTCCCCCGATGCCGTCTAATCCGCCACGTCCTCTGTCTGTCTGCCGCCTTTGATGTGTGGTGTTTATTTCCCCGCAGAATTCCTACTACTGTATGTATACGGCAAGTTAAGTTAGGAAAAGAAAAGAAAAATAATAAGAATCTATCTGGTCGGTGATCGATGATCGGCTCTATCTAACTATTTATCTATCTGTCACAGAATTCCAGATTCTTGCTTACTTTTCCTTTTTTTTCCCCCTTCTCTTTACTTAGTTCCTTCGCCTGCAATTTTCGCCTGTATGTGCGACCTTGGGTCTCATCTCTCTCCCCTTCTTCTCACTACAGAAGCACTAGCAGGTACGCAGCGAGCTATGATAGGACCCTTGGGATCCGGTCTCGAAATTCAACAGGCGCCTATTCAAGGTGGATATTGACCACAACTTTTCTTTGCTTTTTTTGAACCTATCGAACTGCCACTATCACCAAGAAAGGAAGTCACTAAAGCGACTACCATGTCTCAAGAGAATAATTATAGCATGTGGTCCCTTCGGTGTCTCACCTCAATATCCTGTGCGCCCTGGGTGTGTGTGCGCCTATGAAACGTGGGTGCGTGGGCATAAGAAACCTCCGGGAAAGAACCCGTCGACACCGTGTTCTACCTCCACAAATTCCACAACCCTCTGCAGGCTTGGTGCCCTGTAACGCACGGGCATCCCTGCTTTTGGCTCGAAGAAGTCAGGCAGGTACGGATGTACTTTTGCTGCGTTTTCCTCTTCATCAAAGGTCCCAGAGTCACTATATAACTTCCGGGGCAATCAACGCTAGTCGATAGTTCTTTTTGGGGTGGAAAGATAAAAAGAGATTTAGCTCCGCCAGAATCAGCAAAGCCACACTCATTCACACGCCCTGCTAAAATTCATCGAAGAGACAGCCCGAATACGCCAATTTTACGGTCAGTCCGCCATGCGCGCGTGTTGATGGTTGACCTTTTCGCTATGCTCCATACCCAGCGTGTCATGATTGGAACGCAGCTGATCGGCTCCAAGACTAGTGGCGATCGATTTTCCGTGGCTCCAGCAAGTTAGCTGGCTTGAGTCGGCCCCGGTTGAGATTACCTATCACACGCCCGACAATTTCATGGCTTGCTGGGATTGGGAAGGGAAATGCCCGCGGGAGAGGCCATGACAGGATGACAGGGCGAGTAAAATTCCACAGCCCCCCCTGGTCTAAACACTACTGAACAAGGAGGTGCAGGAACAGGAAACAAACCTGCCGCTTTCCATGCCACGGGAAGTGGTCCATCAATCTCGTTAACCGTTGATCGGGGATGATCAGGGAGTAGATCAACCAACCCAAGTCTATTCAGGAACGACGAGGGCACACGGTATAGGCAAGTCAGTAGTGGTTCTCCGTACTCCGTCCTACTGTCTAACCGGATAGTTGACCTTGCGTGAAGATCCTCTGTGGATTTGGGTTTTTAACTACCGAGCTGCTGCCTATTTGACTGCATGAATCAGCCCTCGCGTTCATCGGATAAGTTCAGTCTGGAAAATTCACGGGTCGTCGGATACCTTACGGATCCCCTAAATGCTAGTATGCGAAATAGCGAGGTCCCAAGACCAAGGTTCGTCGGTCAACTCTGAACTTTAGACTTCCCATCCGGGTTTGAGACCTGAGTCGGGCTCTCGCTCCGAACCGGAGGCGTCGGTCCTCAGCGTCATGGTGGGGGGGAAGATGGTGAAAGCGAAGCAAGATGGGTTCCAAGTATGGGAGAATACACATGGTAGAGGGCAGTGCCAGCGAGTTTCCAGGAAGAATGGCCAAGAATGAGAGGGCGAGGTAATCTTCATACGGGGAATGTGTATCGACAAGATCCCCGAGGCGTCGACGGCGCCCAGTCCAGACCCAACGGTCGCGTGCGAGACCCATCTGTTCCACGGAATGGCCAATCAGACCCAGTCAAATTTGGAGGGCCTTCTTTAGCCCCACGAGCTAGGCCCGTCTGGGACTCTCATGCGAGGTTCAAGGTTGTTACTGTAAGGATCCCCGATACATACATACAGGTTATTTGTATGTATGTGTGTATCGTCTTTTCTACTCATCGAGGCGGTGCTGCTGTTCTTGTCCAGCGACATGCGAGATGTATCAGACTTTGATCCATCATGGCGTGCTAACAATTTCTTCCCCGGGTGACCGGGGTTGGTTGCGCCCTACCATGCATACATACATACATAGTACATTCTTAAGATTCTGGTCTACCTATTAGCAGTCTCGGGCCACGTCTGGACCACCAAAGTACCAAATCGCTGAAGCTTGCTCCGAGAAATGACTTCATGGAGAAACCGACTGTTCGAGATCCGCTCAGAAACCGTCTTAAAAAGCAAGATTTCCCAGAAACGCAGGCCAGTCATGATCCGGTGACATCGAGGTGCTTGCTGGATGATTACGTGGAATAGCCCTGGCCACCAATTACTGTAATTAAATGGGCGACTAACTCACCTTAAGCCTCGCCTAACTGTCGGATGAGGAGCTAAATTGGCCAAGGCTATCGGACTAAAAGGCGCGGTATCTAACCCATCTGCCAACAACCACGACTGATGGCAATGAAGCTGCATGGGTTAGACAAACCTTCGTTCAGGTCAATTAGTTACGGAGTCCCCGGATTATGGTCGGAGCCGTTGCGCTTGGGGACTCACGGGAGACAAAAAGGTCACTAGCGCTGATGCAATCTCCGTCAGCCAGGTAAATATTCTCAGAACCTTGCTCTTGCTCGTGTTTCGTGGTGAGTTATAGTCGATGCGGAGTACACTCCTCCATATTGGGTAGTGTGGCTGCATGAGATAGCCTCTAGGACTTGCTACTATCTCGGAATGTGGCAGGCTGCAGCTCGTCGAACGGCAGAGGCATAGTCACTATACAAGTACTACTGGGCAGGGTGCACGTATGAAACCATCGGCAATCATTGGCATTGCTGGGAGTGATAATTCAGGATAAATGCAGTGCTCGCCCTAATATTGAGCGTGAGTATCGCAGGAAATGAATAAGTCGCTGGTGGTAGTAGTATATATTCTTCAGGTTTCGGCCTTTGATCGGTACTACTAATTTAACCAGCAGCTCATCAATTCCTCCCGTGCTATATTTACATTGCACAGACTGCTCCAGTATTCCTGTTTTTGTCACGCACTTCCTTCTGAATATCCCCTCTTCTGCCAATGCAAGTCGGGAGGCAACCGAGTGTTACTAGCGACACCACCACCTCAGTAGTTGCATTTGATCTGATCGCTTGATCTTCAAGCACGATCATGCGAACATCTTCTGCTCAGCTGCAGAACCGGGCCCCGGGGTGTGTGTGGCCAGGAATTAAGCAGCAAAGACCATGGGGTATTGCATTGGCACAAGAGACACAGACTGGTGACCCCTCATTCTGAGATCTTCCAGGATACATACACATCTGCATGCATACAGACTGCGGAGGAATCGATCAGAAAAGTCATGACATGTCGATAATTAGTGTTTTAATTCTATACTCCAACTAAACTATCAGTAAGAGAAAAGCAGCCAAACGGATGGCGGGGTAAAAACCACCGGCCGGTCACGGGACCGCACAGCTGGTCTTTGGCGCCCACCGTAATCGACGAGGTGCCCGAAAGAGTCACAATTTCGGAAAGTGGGCAAGTATCTGATTGAAGTCCCCAATCGCACAATCGGTCTTCTCAGCACCCTTTTACGCCCCTTAAATCCGTGCCTCGGGGTTCACGACTCGCAATCATGGCGACCGATATGACGAGCCCCATCCTGGACGCCCTGTCCGCGTCCGACGCCTCCATCCTCTCCAGCGAAGCCTTCCCCTCCACCCCCTCACTAAACGTCAAGGCCGCCCTCGACCGTCTAGCCTCCCGACAGATGGTCGAGTATGAGACCTTCGATAAAGAGGTTGCTGTCTTGACCCCCGAAGGTGATGAAATCGCCACAAATGGCAGTCACGAAGCCAAAGTGTTCCAGGCCGTGTTGGCTGCCATGGACGGATTGAAGATCGCCGAATTGCCCGGAGTCGTTGGAAAGGACAACGCCAAGATCGGTCAGGGCAATGCTTTCAAGAAGGGCTGGATCAAGAAGGACAAGGATCTTCTGCGGGCGACGACCGACTCCATCGTGGACGAGACCCGCGAGTTGTTGCTGACGGTCAAGAACACCCAGACTCTGAACGACCAGAAGGCCCTCACAGATCTGAAGCGGCGCAAGCTGGTCGCCCTGCAGAAGGTCATTTCCTTCAAGATCTCCAAGGGTCCCAAGTTCGCGCGCGAATTCGTCAAGGAGGAGACCGACCTGACCGCGGAGATGCTCATGAACGGCTCCTGGAAGACGGCCCAGCTGAAGCCCTACAACTTCAAGGCCAAGGGTGCCCCCACGCCCGCTGGTGCTTTCCACCCCCTGAACAAGGTGCGCCAGGAATTCCGCAACATCTTCTTCGAAATGGGTTTCGAGGAGATGCCTACCAACCGTTTCGTCGAGACGGGCTTCTGGAACTTCGACGCCCTCTTTGTCCCTCAGCAACACCCCGCCCGTGACCTTCAAGATACCTTCTACATCGCCGACCCGGTCAAGGCCGACCCGCCCCGCGAGGACCCAGAGAACGACCCTCACCGCATCAAGTCCATCCAGCCGGCCTCGAACGCCGCCCAGGAGAAGCCCCTCGACTACAAGCAGTACTGGGAGGACGTCCGCCAGGTGCACGAGAATGGCAAGTACGGATCCATTGGCTACCGCTACCCCTGGGATGCCGACGAGGCGCTGCGGCTGGTTCTCCGCACACACACCACCTCGGTTTCGACATATGTTCTGCACAAGCTGGCGGCCAACCCCCGCCCGGCGAGATACTTCAGTATCGACCGAGTGTTCCGTAACGAGGCGGTCGACGCCACCCACTTGGCCGAGTTCCACCAGATCGAGGGTGTCATTGCCGACTTTGGTCTCACCCTTGGTGGTCTGATTGGCTTCATGGAGGTCTTCTTCGCCAAGATGGGCATCCACCAGCTCCGCTTCAAGCCGGCCTACAACCCCTACACCGAGCCCAGTATGGAGATCTTCGGTTACCACGCTGGCCTTGGTAAGTGGGTGGAGATTGGAAACAGTGGTATGTTCCGTCCGGAAATGTTAGAACCCATGGGTATCCCCAAGGGCATGCAAGTCTACGGATGGGGATTGAGTCTGGAGAGACCTACCATGATCAAGTAAGTCTGAATAAACACGATACAGAATGGACCATTGATACTAACGATGTACCAGATACGGCGTCAGCAACATCCGAGAACTCCTGGGCCACAAGGTCGATCTCGGCTTCATCGAGTCCAACCCTGCCGTCAGACTTGAGAAGGACTAGATTTAGAAGGCAACGAATGACTAGAAAAAAAAATTGGCAGAACTTCTTTTTACACTTATTTCGTGTTGAGACCACCACGCTATTGATATCATGACTCCCACATAGATCTACGTGATATAAACCACACAAAACAAGAACCCCGGAACAAGAGAAAAAAAGAAAGAGAACTACGAAACGAAGGACCACGGTTACGAGTAGAAATGAAAAGCACTTAATTTTTGAAACCTCACTTTCCTTTTTTCCTTCTACTAACTAGAATACTATAATGATGATAACTAGATAGATAGATATGTCCCACCCGTATCTGTGCCCCGATGCAAGTCTCAGCAAAGTGGCTCTTCAGCAGGCGGTAAAACGTAATATTCGGCGGTGGATGTGCGTGATTTTTACTTGTCTACCTCCTGACTCATGGGATATCCCCTGACCTAGATAAGAGAACAGAAGAGGAATCCAGATGACGGTTTCCTTCTTCTCTTCTTTTTCTGAGGTTTATGAGGGGGAGTGAGGAAGCCTTGATGTGCCGATGATAATAAGAGATGATATCTAGTATATGCTTGCTACAAACGAGAAAGGAAAAGGGTACCCCGACTGTCAAGTGGGAGAAAAGACCCAAGGGAAAAAGTATGTTCCATCCGAAACAAGTGTAGGAAATAAAGATTGAAAGCAGGATGGAAATTGAATTGTTGATGGAAAAGTTAAAAAAAGTTTTTTCATTTCATTTTGAAAAGGATTCCCTTTTTGTTGTTGGAGATATAGTTAAATATCTTCATCCTATGCCACCATTATCATTAGCCTTGCGCCCTGAAGGATTCCACAGTGGGGAAGACATTGGATAAATTGGTGGTGAACGTACCATCATCAATAACCACCCACTTCCAAATTCATCCCAACACCGCACGTCACTCTCTCAAACAAAGGAGAAGAAAAGAGCTTAGCGCTGACGGGCAGCGGTCCAGACGTTGCGGACGTAGCCGTCACGCTGGGCAAGGCGGTTCAGGGAGTCATCGCTCTCACCACGGGCACGGATGAAACCGCACAGAGCGTAGGTGTGGTTCTCACCGGTGTAGCGGCCGTTCTCGTCAACCTTGGCGATGGAGATCTGGACGGAGGCGTGGTCGTTGGCCTTGATGATGCGGTTGGTGGCGCTGCACTTGCGGGGGACGTAGCTGTATTGCATTATTAGCATTTTGCCTTGCCTAGCCTTGTTCCATTGGCGATTGCGCATGTGTTGGATGGTGATGGTGATGGTCATGGAGATATGCGATGCGATCGGTGTTCGGTAATTCCTCCTCTTCTCTTGCTTGCCCTTCTCCGTATATTTCAATTTCAGACCCGTCTCTTTTCATATCGTAGATCCATTAAATCAAGTCCTTCCTCGTCGATCGACAATAATATCCGTATATCTTGTATCCCCTCCGCGCGATATACACCCGACTCTCCAGGTATACTCCGAATCCAAATTGTATCGACCACCGAATCGCATCCATATCTTCATGTCCGAGATCACACCACACACAAACCCAACATTATATGGTTTTTTGAAAGGAATGGATACATACAGATCGACGATCTCTCCCTTCTCGTTCTCCATTTTGACGGTTGTTTGGGGGGGTGGTTGAGGTTGACGACGGTGAGAGGTTTTGCGCTGGCGGGTTAAACTGGCGGCGGACGGTGCGTGTGAAATTCCACTTGAATCTTTCTGGCGAACGCGGGTTGTGGGTCATGTGATTGTTTGTCGAGGGCTGATGACTAAGGTTTTTGCCGGGTGGGTTGGGCTTGGCTGGATGGGTAGGCGGTGAGGATGAGTACCTGGTGTGGCGGTGTAAATGCTAGAGTTGCTGTGTGAATTGGGTGTGGCTGGTGAGATGGTGGGTGAGTGCTGTAGTATGTATGGTTGTAGGGAAGGTAGAGTGATGCTCTAGAAGAGAAGATTGTGAGTGATGGCTTAGTTGGACGATAACTCTTACTCAAAGTGTATGTCTTTATATATGCGTCTTCGTGTATAATGAGCATCCTCCGACGTCAGTAGATCAGACCAGTGTTGATAGAGTACGAGGGATATGATTCATTGAAGGCTTTTGATAAATGAAGTGGTTTAAAATGGCATCTAGATGCTGTATATACGACTGCATAATAAGCCAGCTACTGGCATATGCACTCATAATCTGCTATAGACGGCTCTCCTCAAAAACATCCTTCTTCCACCGCACCACCACCTCTCGAGGAACCCCCTTGATGAACTTTAGCTGTACGACCCGCTCCGCTTCTCCCCTCCGATCAGTACCATCCAGCTCCGGTCCAGGATGATCCAACTTCATCACAGTCAGACCATCAGACCCAATCTGCAGCGCCTTCGGGCAAATACACTTGTCCGTCCACGGCGGCTGCCCCGAATGAATGAACTGCAGCAATTCCTCTCGCTGCTTCTTCAACTCCTCAACGGACTCCATACCTGGTTTTCCCTGGTTCAGAAACTCCGCCATCAAATGAAGCAGCATGAACTGAGGCGGAAACAAAATAGCCTCGCCCTTCTGCGCCATGCCTACCCACTCCGATGCAGGCAAGAACCTCGCCTCGGAAATCTCCACTCCGCCATCACTCGTCGGCACCTGAATCTCCTCTTTTTCACCCTCATGGGGAATCTCATCCAGAACAGGCTTTTCGATCTCCATCGGCAAGGGTAAGAAATACAGGTACATCTGGGTCGTATACCGTCTCGGAAGTCTGATGGGCGTGAGCCAGCGCGTAAATGGTATCAGTCCTTCCGTATCTGGCACTGCTGCGGGATGCTGTTCCCTTAACCATTCGGCGAATGTCATCTTATTCTGATGAATTGCACGACGACCGGCTTCACGCTGCTCCTGTGGCACAGCGAGCATCTTGCCAGAATTACGGTCCTTGGCCAGGAGAATGCCGCTTTCCTCGAATAGTTCTCGGATGGCGGCATTTCGATACCAGGGTCCGTCATCGTGTCGGGAGATATCATCTACCGGTGGACATGGCCCGTCCTGGCTGGAGAGGTTCCCTCCCGGGAAGACATGTGCTGATGGGTATGACGTTGATGTCTTGACGCGGTGGAGAAGAAGGACCTCATTATGTGGCGAGATGATGATTACGCTGGGATATAATTAGCCTTGAGTCTACTAATTTGACGCTATATAAGAGGTGAAAGCAAGTGAGTGAGAATGGTAGGGATGTATGTCGGGAAAGACGACGAAGCTTGGCATATGACGAACCTGGAACTGGGCCGAGGCTCGGCGGGCGTAGACTTGGATTTTGGGATCTTTCGAGACGCCATAGTCTGATCTGTAGATGTCTGCTGTGACTTGAAAACAGAAAAATTGCATCGTTGTATAGGGGGACTGAAGGTTCTAAGTGATATCCGGGGCTGCGTAGGTCTATATGGTAGGTCTGAAACTAACAGCCGGCTACCTCGGGCAACTTGCAGCCGGGGTAGGAGGGTTTCACAGGCTATCATCATAGTCCTTCCAAAGGAGCGCAGACATTAGTGTCAGCAGGTCCCTGTGCTAATGAGATAGGTGACGGATTGCAATGACAGAGAAAGGTTATTGGAGCCCAAGGTACACGGAATCGACAGGCCGCAGATGGCAGAAGCCGAGCTACAGCAGTTCTGCGGCAAGGGTTACTGCGACCCCGCGTTTTCGGCAACAGACCGCCTCTCACTAATTACTGATAGTATTTACGGCTGACGGATCTACAACTTTGGGGAAAAAAATTTTGTGACAGATAGATTGGTATTGATGACTGTCATTGGAAGTCTAGGATCATGTATAGAATCATTGAAAAAGGCATAATGCATTGAATAACCCTAACCAAGTCGGTGCGTCACCGCAAGTCGAACTCCTGTTCCCCATGCCCGAGCTTTTGTTTTCGTAACAGCCACATATCATCATGTAACAAAACGTATCAACAGAAAGGCTCTTGATATCAATTAAACGAAAAGGAAATAAGCAAAGAAACTTTGGCACTCAAGCTGTTACCGCTTAAGAGTAGAGCTTCTTGTCGTAGCTGTGGAGACCGTGGACGTTACCCTCGGCCATGGCGCTGGCACTTCTCATCTCGAAGCGGACAGTTCCGTTGTTCACACCCTCGTGGAGAGCCTTAAGGCTGGGAACACCGATATCCTGCAGGGAGTGCTGGACACCCGCAACGAGGTAGGGAACGAACTTGGTGACGGAGCCACGGTCGAGAACGGAACCAGCGACACCCTGAGCAACCAGGACACCGTCCTTCTCAGAGAAGTAACGGGCAGTACCAGCGTTGCTGGCCTTGCTGTCCTTGGAGCCAGCGCCGGCCTTCTTGTCCTCCATGGCGGCGATACTGCCCATACCACGGTAGGACTTGACGAGCTGACCCTCCTTGCTCATGAAGTACTCGCCAGGAGACTCGGTGGTACCGGCAAGGAGACCTCCCATCATGACAGTGGAGGCACCCATAGCCAGACCCTTGACGATGTGACCAACGTTCTGGACACCACCGTCAGCAATGCAAGGAACACCGAAGCGAGCGGCGAAAGCGGTGACGCTGCGGACAGCAATGGCCTGGGGACGGCCAACAGCCATGACCTCCTGGGTGATGCAAGCACTACCGCTGCCCATGCCAATTCTCAGGCCATCGACACCAGCAGCAATCAGGGCTGCGGCTTGCTCACGAGTGACAACGTTACCACCGATAACGTCGATCTCGGGGAAGTTCTGCTTGATCCACTTGATCATCTCAATCTGGTACATGCTGTTACCCTGGCTGCTGTCCAGGATAACAATGTCGAGACCAGCATCAACAAGGAGCTTGAGTCTGGTCTTGTCCTGCTCACGGGTACCAATGGCAGCAGCGGCGATGAGCTGCTTGGACTGGGGGAGCTTGGAGGCGAGGGGGTAGTGGAGGTTCTTCATCAAATCGCTGCGGGACAGCAGGGAGACGAGGTTGCCGTTCTCATCAACAATGGGGAGCTTGCCCTTCTTGGAGGAACGGAGGACCTCGTTAGCCTCGGCCAGGGTGGTGCCAGCGGGGGCAGTGATGAGGTCAGTGGACATGATGGCGGTGACGGAGTCATCAAGGTCGCCGTGGAACTGGATGTCACGGGAAGTGACAATACCAACAAGCTTGGAGCGGAGGGTTCCGTTCTCTGTTCAAACAAATGCTGTTAGAATCAAGTCTGACTCGAACCAGAAAAGAAGAACATGTTATGATGAAACACAAGGGTCAGATAAAATCTGTTTCTCTACAGTGCTGCTCTCGCTGCTCCAGTGGAACGAAAGTTATAATAGAAAAGAGGATGATCATCACTGTGGATGGGAAAACTGAAAGGAAGAAAAGAACAGTAAAGACTTACCAGTAACAGGGAAACCACCGAAGCCCCACTTGGCCTTCAGCTCCTTGGCCTCGCGGACAGAGGCCTTGGGAGAAAGGACGACGGGGTCGGAGATGAAACCGTTCTCGTATCTCTTGACCTTGCGGACCATCTCGGCCTGATCCTCAGGAGCGCAGTTGTGGTGGATAACACCCAGACCACCCAGCAGAGCCATGTGGATGGCCATGTTGTGCTCGGTAACGGTATCCATGGGAGAGGACAGAAGGGGAACCTTCAGAGAGACACGCTTGGTGACGGGAGTGTCCAGAGTGACATCGGAGGCAGGGAAGCCTGTGATGGGGCGTATAAGCAACCGAGCACGAACAAGAATCACCAGAAACTCAAGGTGTTCGTCTTACCGATGTATCCGGGCAAGATCAGGAAGTCGTTGTAGGTCAACGCTCCGTGCTTGTCCGAGTCAAGCAGAGTGTCAACGTCCAGACCATCCTGAGTAGTGTAGGTCTTCAGGACCTCCAGGGCCTTGGTGTGGTCCTGGATCTCAGCCTGCATGGCGCGGCCAAGAGAGTCACCGTTGGAGATAGGCATGGTGAAGACTCTACCGGTTCTATCGTAACTCGTCAAAAAAGAATGATAAGAGTCAAGAATAGAAAAATAATCAACAGATCGACGATAGAAACGTTCTGTTGATGGAGAAAGTCTTCCTTTCCCAAAGAAAAGAAAGAAAGAAAAAGGAAGAAAAATCGGAGGAGAAAAAAATTGGCTTTTGACTTCTGCCGCACACGCTAGCGATCCCTGCAGAATTCATGCCGCAACGGGTATGGTTCGCCTTCCCGCCGGCTGTTTGGGGCTGTGATTGGCTGCTAAACGAAATCAGGCCAGGCGGTGAGTGAGGAGGGGGTGACATTGAAAGAACCAAATTATTCCATCCTGACTGATGGTTAATAATAGTAGTTCTGCTGAAAATTTTTGCAGTCCCGCTTATCAATGCCTTAAGGAACCGTCGCGGGGTTCGGGGTTAACTTCCCATGGAGTGAAACCCAATCGCTGCTTGCGGCAATTGCAATAATGACTTGGATATTTAGCAATACTGTTACTGACTGGTCATGTGAGGAGTTCCTTTCCACAATGTTTTCCATATGAAGCTCTCTCCTCTATAAACTCCGTGTTTTCTCTCTTTTCCATTTGGCGCATAACACCAAGATTGGGTTAGTGGCTACTAGTCATGTTGATAAGATAAATAAGATGCCCACGGTCTCGTCTTGGATGCATGTGACGATACAATGAGGTTGCTGGGTTTGTTGTTGAATCTAATTAGATTGTTGCATTGGTGACGCTTTTGGTTCAGATACCATTGCAGTTCTCAACTGTAACGTATTAATTTGAGTTATTGTTTGGTTGTTCAAGTCGGTCCAAGTGGTACTGCATACGCTATGAAGTATGCTCGGACCAGATCATTTCTTTCCCCGCAGTGTTGTCCAGGCACCTCAGATTTATATATGAAGCAACATCTAGGTGCACTGGTCAAGGCATCTTAAGGTGTAGTAAGTGTACTTAGATGATCAGTCGTATGTGGGGAGTAATGGCTTATCTATTCTTGTAGGCTAATAACGATCTTAAACTTGTCCCTTGCTCCTTGTGATCGCCTCCGCGAGTCCATGGAGCCCTAGAGACGGAACACATATACTGTAGGGCTGATGACGTTCAATTGAGAAATAAAGACTAATTACGGATGTGTATAGCCAGGCGGTCCAAATGAGAGTGCTGATTCATGTTGTGGGGAGTTTTACGGTTATGCCAATTTTCCACTTGATAATTTTGAAGTGTTGCAGGGCGCAGTGTAACTGTTTCATATAACCTAAGGAAATAGTTACACTTACGGCTCTCCATGTGGCTGATCGGTAATTGCTGCTATGTCTAACCAATCTTCCGTTGGCATTAGCTTTTCCAACTGAATTAGGCTTCATTGAACTTTATGCGAATTGAAGGCTTATCAGTCTACTTACTGCTATCTATATGAGCATGGTATCTGAACTGTAGCACTAGCCCAGCCAGGCGGCAACTATAAGCATGAAATAAGCTTGAGAATAGCGATGATAAATACTGTTTTGACGATCATCAAAGTAATTCAAGATTTCTTTGGAATTTATTTGGCGAATTTTTTGGTGTGCTACGATACTGTATAGATCGAGAGGTGAACTGCGGAGATGTGGTTCGCGGACGTGGTTACGTAGTACAACTATGACGCCAGGGTGACAAAAGGCAAAGGAAGCTGCCCGACTTATATAGGTAGCACCAAAGCCATGGATTTTTTACTGTTTGAGCAATATCTTCTCATAGCAATCATATCGCACGACTAATAGTCACAATGGCATCTGCAATGGGAAAAGAAGGCGTTTTCCAGCCGCCACAGGCAGCTCAATCCCAGAATACGCCAGGGTAATTTCCCCTTCACAGTGTTTCCCCTCGTTACTTCGATTAGCTTTCTCTCTCTTATGAGTATTCTTAGAAGAAACCAGCGAAGCTAATAAATAATCTCAGGTTAGAGAAGAAAATGGCACCAGCAAGTGAACCGACCAAGCTGGAATCCAGCGGCACTTTCGTGGAGTATGTCGGTTCTGGAAAACTGAAGGACAAGAAAGCTCTCATCACGGGCGGCGAGTATGTCTCCTATACTGGCATGATACAGGAAGGCCAAAAAGCTCACATCCTCGTAGTTCCGGAATTGGCCGATCGGTCGCGGTCTTGATGGCCCGCGAAGGGGCCGACGTCACCATTGTCTACCTACCCGAAGAAGAGGAGGATGCTCAGGATACCAAGAAGATGGTTGAGGCCGAGGGCAAATCATGCCACCTCTTCAGCGGAGATTTGAGAAGTCGCGAAACGTGTCGCAAAGCTGTTGAAGAGCATATGAACACGTGCGTGGCCTTGTCATGATCAGTCTACCTACAAAGCTCTATCTCTTACTGAACCCAGGTATAAAAAACTAAACATTCTCGTCAACAACGCCTCCAAGCAGTTCATGTGCAAGGATTTTGCGCAGATAGATCTCGACAATGTTACCAGCACCTTCGAGAGCAATATAATTCAGATGTTCGCTATCACGAAATTTGCCCTTCCGCATCTGTCCCGGGGCGACTCGTCAGTTTATCCATTTTCTATTGAAACAAGTTGCTCGTGGCTAATTTGATCTGCAGCATCATCAATACCACATCTACCGTGGCATTCCGAGGCACAAGCGGTATGGTTGACTATAGTGCGACTAAAGGTGCTATTGTTAGCTTTACAAGATCATTGGCAGCACAGCTGAAGACGAAGGGTATCCGCGTAAATGCAGTGGCGTAAGTTCGAGGGTCCATGTTGGCTGTCAAGACAAATGCTCACTATCAATTTGGTAGTCCTGGTCCAGTTTATACTCCTATTCAGGTCGATACTCGAGAGCCCGAGCAGATGGAGAACTTCGGCGCTGAATCTTCCATCGGTCGACCTGGTCAACCAAGTGAAGTCGCGACAAGCTTCATCTTTCTGGCCAGCGCAGATGCTGCACTGTTCTGTGAGTATATCTTCGCCCCCTGGCGACAAAGGCTGCCAGCAAACCTCTGACATTTTCTGACTCTGAAAAAGACGGCCAGGTGTTGCACTGCTATCCTCTAGGGGATTAAACAAAGCTTGAAGCCGAAGACGAATTGTCTATGAAGCCACACGAGGGCAAAAGTACAGTGTCAAGCTCCATAAACCAATGCAACTTGGCATTCGTTTCATTTCTAAAGTTAGCTCCAGGGCGTCCCCGTACCTCTAAGCCATTTGATGTGAAAATATGTACATGTATGATAGTTCAGGGGAGTTGAGTAATTTGTAATGCGATCAATACAACAGCCACGGTTTCGCCTGCAGGAGGGCTTTATCCCAGCCCTCATCATTCTTCCAGATAGCAATAGTCTCTACCTCATCCTTACCCAGCTTGAGATCGTTGTACAGATGCTATCCAGAGTTTTCGATTAGTTCTAAATCCTCTTCTCTGTAACCATACATGGGGCTGAGACAACATACCGGAAACAAGCCCTCTTTCGGTCGCGGTCCGCAGACCGTCCCGTCAGGATTTTCCCACCGGACTTGGCCGGCTATGCCCTTGAAGGGAATCCGCAGCACATAGACCAGCGGTTCATCTTTGAAAAACATTTTGAGAGTATTCGGTACTTGGAATGCTGTAGAGAGGTGTACGAACCCCGATTTCTCATCCAGCTCGCTAACCGGCAGCCGATCGGGGAGAGGTTCCCGTACCGGAGACGTCGAGGGAATCAGCTTGTAGACGTAGAGGGGCTCGGCGTCTGCCATTTTTTCTTTGTTCAATGATGTAATTTCCCTTTGGGCTCGTAGAAGAGGCTATAAGGGATTTAATGGTAGTTGATTGTGTTGTAGGTCTGTATCCTAGTCATATAGGTAGGTGATATATTGACGCTAGTGAGTGGGTGGTGGGACTGGTCATCCTTGACCCCTCCATGAGTTGTTCGTCGATCGCGTCGGACTCTTTGTCCTCCAAGACTCCCGTGACCGGGGTGTGTAGTATCCGAGCTTTCTTCAACCACACGGAATGTGTCTACTTTCCTTCAATGATTGGTGGGTTATTATGTAGATGGTTTGTCATCTGCTGCAAATATACTGAAGTAGTAAAATATCATTTTTGATCCTGGCGTTTTGACCAAGTCCCCGCATGCGTTTCCGATAAGATAGTAGCAGTAGTACGACGGACTATATGCTGGTCAATATATATTAACGTTAGTACTAGCGGGACTGAGAGGTTCGGCCACGTCTGATGAATAGGAATCTTTTGAATTATGATGTGAATAACTTAATATCATATTTTGTACATGGAATAGATTGATGAAGAACTAAAGCAGATCCTGGGCGCACATAATCTTCACAAGATTGAACAGTCTTCAAGTGTACATGCAGCCTCCAGAGTACTAGTTTCGTGGACTTGCGACATCTACTATGTACTTACTCAGCGGGAGTGAATATAGTTATATAGTTTCTGCATATGTTTCTGCAACGAGGAACTTGTCTGTCTCCTATATCGATCGATCAGACACATTCAAGCTAGTAACCACAATTCTTAAGCCACAGAGATCTGTGGCTGAGATAGGGATCGACGTCACTGGACCAGGTATCGGAGAGTAACAGTCACATGCCCGTGCACGCCATACCAAATCGGGAGATTTGTTTTTGCCCTTGCTGGGGGGCTGGGGATCGTTCCTGCCTCCGATTTACTTGGTAGCTGAACCCCCCGCTTTAGCGCTGACGGCCCTCTTTCACTCTCCCTCTCTTGTTTATTTCTGTTGCTGCAGCATCCATCGTCTGTGTTCACGTTTCAATCCATCTGCACGCAATTCGGGTGATCGAAAACCTGCCCGCCGGTTGCGATCCCTCAATTCACTCGACTCTTTCGACAATCTCGGTGTTCCTCGTGCCCGTCTTGTCTTATCTCTCCCATTTCTGATCCTTGCCTTATCAGGCCATTTCAGGCACAAGCCCTGCCGTTTCTACATCAACCGATTCTTCCCGGCCCAATTCTTTCCGTTACCACAGGGTTATGCCGCCTCTCCCTTGGATGAACATTCCATCCCAGTGATATCCCACGCAACCGCACGACTCTGGTCGGTTTGCTGCTTCGGTTCGGGAGGCAGGTATGCGGCCAATTGAAGTAGAGTCTCTTCCATCTCCATTGGTTATCGCATTCTTTCTCTCAAATCGGCACCCGTGATGTCAAGCAATTTAGCATCGTCCCGACGCACACAGACGGATTTGCCAGACCAAACATCCAATCCACTGCGCCATGGATCAACCGCTTCCACAAGCTCGTCGATATACACCGTCTCATCAAGTTCATTTGCTCCCAGTCGCACGAGCACCGTCTCCTCCACCGCGTCATCTGGGTCCCTACCCGGCCATAGACGGGGCAAGAGTGAGGTAAACACACCAATTTCCGAAGCAATGGCTGGAGGCGCTTCTGAGGGGAAAAGCTGGGCCAATGCGGGCGCGACCTATGAGAACATCCGGCGCTCATTGCGACCACTTTCTCAAGCCCCCAACTCGTCTCCTGTAGCTACCAAGCAAGCAGCATTTCGTCATTCTCGAAGCCAGACTGTCGACAATCCCCAATATTGGAAGGAAAATCGCCCACAGACTCCCGAATCCCGTCCTGCGCAGCCTCAGGATGTTGACACGTTAAAGGAGAAGCCCTCATACCTCGACCAAAGCCCCACGAAAACCGGTTCGCCGCACGCTGTCTCACCTCATACCAAGTCACAAGTAAAAGCGCACCATGCGCATAGTTTGTCCAACCCACCGCCGTTCACTCATACCCTGTCGGCCCCCGAGCTAGAGACGTTCCAAAAATCGTCAACCGGCCACCTGAGGACCCTCTCAAAGTTTGCGAAATCGGGTGAGACCGAAGAATTTGCTCTTGACAGTTATGGGGCATCTGTGGTGGGATTACAGGGACGACGGCGCTTAAAGCGCGCTGATACGGTGACCGGAAACAATAGCCCCATAGCACGAAAGAAACCGGCAGCATCAGCATGGACGGCTGGGAGCTGGATGGACAAGCAGCGTCAGTTCCTCCAGGCGTACGAGTACCTCTGCCATATCGGAGAAGCAAAAGAATGGATCGAAGAGGTTATTCAGAAACAAATTCCGCCGATTGTTCAGTTGGAAGAAGGCCTGCGTGACGGAGTAACGCTGGCTGAGGTGGTACAAGCAATGTACCCAAATCGAACCTTTCGAATCTTCAGACACCCGCGACTTCAGTACCGTCACTCTGACAACATAGCACTGTTTTTCCGGTTCTTAGATGAAGTCGAGTTGCCAGAGCTGTTCCGGTTCGAGCTTATTGATCTTTACGAAAAGAAAAACCTCCCGAAGGTTATTCACTGCGTCCACGCCTTGTCATGGCTGATGTTCAAGAAAGGCCTCGTCGATTTCCGGATGGGAAATTTGGTGGGCCAACTGGAGTTCGAACATCATGAACTCGAGCAAACACAAAAAGGCCTCGATAAGGCGGGCGTCAGCATGCCTAGTTTCTCGGGAATGGCTGCCAACTTTGGAGCGGAACCAGAGCCAGAACCGGAGCCTGAGCCGGAATCCGAGGAAGATCGCATTCACCGTGAGTTACATGAAAGCGAAGCCTCGATCTTTGATTTCCAAGCTCAGCTTAGAGGAGCGATGCTGCGACTGAAGCTTGGCAACTTGATGAACGATCTATGGGATTTCGAACCGTTCTTGGTAGAACTGCAGTCCAGGATACGCGGAGACTGGGCTCGACAAATTGTTCAATACCGACTGGATATGCGAAAATTCGCTGTTCAGTTACAAGCGATCTGCCGAGCTTTTCTGGTCCGACAGCGGCAGAGAGGTGATAAGGAAAATTACCAGGCTCAAGAAATTGATGTACTGCGGCTGCAGACCCTCATTCGGGGAGCCAAGGCAAGGGCTCAAGTGGACCGTGTTCGAAGTTGTATGCGGAAAGAGGAATCGGGCATCAAATTGATTCAAGCGGCACTACGAGGCGCATTGCAACGTCAGAAAGTGTACGATCTTTGCGAGGGCACAAGAGGTGCGGAGGAGGATGTTCAACTGCTGCAGGCTGCTATCCGGGGTGCTCTGCAGCGTAAGCAACTCGCAACGCAATACGAAGAAACCCACTCGGCTGAGACAGATGTAACTGAGCTCCAAGCCCTTATCCGAGGTGCGCTTCAACGCAGTCAGCTGGCAAAGCAATACGATGCAGTGCAGTCTGCGGAACCTGACGTTGTCGAGCTCCAAGCTCAAATCCGTGGTGTCCTTCAGCGCAGTCGGCTTGCAGAACAATATGAAGCAACACGAGCGAGGGAGGAAGATGTGACCGTGCTTCAAGCTTTGATTCGGGGTGCCTCTGTCCGTCAGCAGATGAGCACACAGAACGAGGCCATTAATGCGACGACAGCAAGCAGCACGTCTCTGCAAGGAATCATTCGAGGAATGCTGACCCGGAAAGGTATCGAAGAGACGAAATCGTTGCTCTTGCAAGAAGTACCTTCAATTACCTCCGTTCAAGCAGGCGCGCGGGCTCTTGCAGCCAGAAAATTCCTATCGCAGCAAGCAGAAGCGCTCGCAAAGACAGCAAATGAGTGCGCCTCTCTTCAGTCAATTGTTCGCGGTAACACTCTTCGAGCCGAGCTTGACCGTCTTCGACAAGATCTGAGCAAGCATGTGCCATCCGTCATCGACATCCAAAGCATCTCTCGAGCAAATGCCGTACGATCCTTCCTGAATTCTCAACGCGAGTCTCTTAAGGAAGAGGAGACGTCCATTCTGGCCCTGCAGTCTATGGCACGGGCCGTCATACTTAGGAGAAGGCTCGAAGCAGATGCGCAAGCTCTACAGCAAGAAGCACCGGTCATAACCAATCTCCAAGCTCTGATTCGCGCCGCAATTCTCCGCATCGATGTGGGCGGCATCTTGGAGGACCTCGATGACTGCGAGGATGAAATTAGCCAGTTCCAAGCACAGATAAGAGCCATGCTTGTTCGGGTTGATGTTGGCCAGACTCTTGCAGACCTGGCAGCTGCCGAAGACGTCGTTATGGACCTTCAGTCACACATCCGTGGTCATCTTGTTCGTTCCAGATTCGAAGAGAAACGCCGCCATTACCGTGAAAACATGGATAAGGTGATCAAAGCGCAAAGCTACATCCGTGGTCGAATTCAGGGCCAAGCCTACAAGAGCCTCACAAGTGGAAAGAACCCGCCTGTAGGAACCGTCAAGGGCTTTGTGCACCTGTTGAATGATAGTGAGTTTGATTTCGACGAGGAAATTGAGTTTGAGCGAACACGGAAATTGGTTGTCCAACAAGTCCGACAGAACGAACTGGCAGAGCAATACATCGGCCAGCTCGATATCAAGATTGCGCTCCTCGTCAGGAATAAGATCACGCTTGATGAAGTCGTAAAACACCAGAAGCATTTTGGTGGCCACGTTGGAAGCCTTCTTCCAAACCGGGAGATTTCTTCCAAGGATCCTTTTGACCTGAAAGCTCTGAATAAGACATCGAGAAGAAAGCTAGAGCAGTACCAGGTTTTGTTCTTCCTTCTTCAAACCCAGTCGCAATATTTGGCGCGGTTATTCCGACGCCTGCGTGAGCTCAACACGCCCGAGAAGGAGTATGATCGGATAAGGCATCTGATGATGGGTCTCTTTGGATACTCGCAGAAGAGACGTGAAGAATACTACCTCATCAAGCTTCTTGCACGTTCCGCTAGGGAAGAAATCGAAAGCTTCGACTCGCTCCATGAATATTTGCGGTGCAATTCTTTCTGGAGTAAACTCTTCGCATCCTACATCAAGTCCCCACGGGATCGAAAGTTTATGCGTGATATTCTTGGAACTGTTGTGAGGGAGAATGTGGTTGAGAACCCAGAGTTGGACTTGGAGAGCGATCCCATACAGATCTATCGCTCGGCCATCAACAACGAAGAGCTGCGGACCGGCAAACGGAGCCGACGCCGACTGGACATCCCAAGGGAAGAGGCAATCAGAGATCCAGAAACGAGAGCGACGTTTATTCAGCATCTTCAAGACCTCCGCGATATTGCTGACCAATTCTTTTCTGCTTTTGAGGAACTCCTGTACAGGATGCCCTTTGGTATTCGGTACATCGCGAAACAGATGTACGAGAGCCTTCTCGCTCGATTCCCCAAGGAGAACCCTGGCTTCATCCTCCAAACAGCGGGCCATTGGGTGTGGAGAAACTACTTTCACCCTGCAATGGTCGAGCCCGAGAAGTATGGTGTAATAGATCGGGGCTTGACCCAGGAGCAAAAACGCAATCTTTCAGAGATCTCGAAGGTGATCGCGCAGGTAGCATCTGGTCGACTTTTCGGCGCAGAGAATGTTTATCTCCAGCCACTAAATAGCTATATCGGAGATTCTATCCAGCGGCTTGGTCAGATCTGGGGTGACAGTGAGTATTTCATTACTTTTAATCTTTGGGATGATGCTGACTTTCTTGTAGTGGTCTCCGTTCAGGACGCTGAAACCTATTTCGACATCGACGAATTCAACGACCTTTATGCCAAGACAAAGCCTACTTTGTATATCAAAATGTCTGATATCTTCTCTATCCATCAGCTTATCGCCAGCGAAATTCATTACATCTGCCAGAATCCGGATGATATCCTGAAGGAGGTCATTCGCGACCTGGGTAACGTCAAGTCCAACGAGAGTGAGCTAATGAGCGTCAACTCCTCTGAGATCAATCTCACCTTGAACCCCAAGCTGGCACAAGTTGAAGGTAAGCCCGAGCACTTTTACCACCTACAAATATGCCCTGGAGACTGACATTTGGAACTAGACCCAGAAGCGGATGTGAAGGCTTTGTTCATGGAAACCAAGAGATGCATTCTCTACATTATTCGCGTCCAAACAGGCGCCAATCTGATGGACATCATGGTTAAACCACCCACCGAAGAGGACGAGGCCAAATGGATGACGCTGGTTCGCGACGAGTTGAGTGCCAACAACACACGACGGAGCCCTTACTCGGAAGCCACCACCATGGTAGACCTTGCCTCTATGAGTTACACGGAGTTGAAGCAAACGGCTCTGGAAAACATTCTTCAACTCGAACAGACCGGTAAAATCCGGCGCGATAATTACTACCAGGATCTTTTGAATGCGATTGCCATCGATATCCGCACAAAGCATCGCCGGAGAATCCAGCGAGAGCGGGAATTGGACAGCGCTCGGATGACGCTTGCTCGTCTCAACGACCAGGCTATCTGGCTGGATCAACAACTCAAGACTTACAACGACTACATCGAGCAGGCCATGGTAACCTTGCAGAACAAGAAGGGAAAGAAGCGGTTCCTAATGCCGTTCACCAAGCAGTGGGATCACCAACGAGAACTGCAGAAGTCCGGCAAGGTCTTCAAGTTTGGATCCTACAAGTACTCAGCCCGCAATCTGGCGGACCGGGGTGTTCTCGTTCACTGGAAGGGATACACTGAACGGCAGTGGGATCGGGTTGACCTTACCATCTCGAGTAACGAGGTCGGAGTTTTCACCATTGATGGAAGCAGTGGACCGATGATGATCCCGGGTGCCAACGCGCAGGTTCCGTTGGACGACCTACTTCAAGCCCAGTTCAATAACATGCAGTTCCTGGACTTCTTCGATGGGCACTTACGAGTCAACGTCAATCTTTTCTTGCATCTGATAATGAGAAAGTTCTATAATGAGTGATGGAGGGGTCTGATGCTGGATCATGATCTTATCCGTCTATTACGTTTCATGTGTTGATGTTTTATTCTGTTTATGTTTTTGTTGTCTGCATTTCTTTGAGATATCCCTTCCTCTTGCTATCATGTTAACGATGAAAAAGAGCTCATCTGGAAAGATGCCTGGAGTGGGCATGGTGGAGATGAGCCTTCGAACTCTTATACCTACTGAATATGTTTTCCTGTACCCCCTGGTTTGCTATGCAAGGTGTCTTTGGATGCTTGAGCGCAACCGCCCGCATGTTATGTATGTATGGCCTAAGCCTGCCTCGACGATGATTGAATGAATACCATCAGTGTACGTATGCTTGAAGTGGGAGCCTTATAGTAGCTGGTAGTAAGAGAATATAACAATCATCATCATTCTATCATGATTCAGTGTCATCTGTGAATAAGTTGTTCAATGAAGGGAGGCCGAGCCATGGACGGGTCAGGGGTCGCCACGTGACGGCTTGGGGCCCAACGGCGATCGATGCCAGCTGGAGGCGATGGCATCTCAACTTCCGCCTCTTCCTCCACTGCTGCTCGCCCTCCTGTCCTTGTTCCCGCAGGTCTTTCCTGTTACGGTTTCAATTGATCCTGTGCTAGATTCTCCATCTGTGCTCTGTGCGCCATGGATTTCTCCAACCTCAAAGAACAGGTCAGCAACCTGACCTTGTATGACCTCAAGGCGGGAGTCCGCAAGGTCCAGAATGGTACGTCCCCGCGGTGACCCCAGAACGCTTTCCTGTCATTCTGGATGGCCTCGGAGTCTGTTCCTTTGATACAGGCGATTCACTGACTCTTATAGCGGTCATGAACTATACCGAAATGGAGGCCAAGGTCCGTTCCTACTCTCCCGCCAGTTCCGTCCCGCCACGAGCCCCGGGCCTCCGCACCCCGTGTGGTTGTATCCCTTGAAGCACAACACTCACATTGGACAGGTCCGAGAAGCTACAAACAATGAACCTTGGGGTGCTTCGAACACACTTATGCATGAGATTGCCAGTGGAACCCATAGCTAGTCAGTGTTTCCGCCCCCGTCGCATGGCCTAGCAAGGACTCCCCTGGAGTACTAATGACGTGTCGCAACATACAGTCAATTGCTCAACGAGATCATGCCTATGATTTACAAGCGCTTCACAGACAAGACATCGGAGGAATGGCGACAGATCTACAAGGTGAGTTCTGTTCTCTCCTATTATCTGCGCGACACATGTGGACCACGGCTTACGATGCGCGACAGGCGCTCCAACTTCTAGAGTTTCTTGTCAAGAACGGATCCGAACGAGTTGTCGACGATGCCCGCTCTCACATGTCTTTGATTCGGATGCTCCGCCAATTTCACTACATCGACCAGAACGGAAAAGACCAGGGTATCAACGTGCGCAACAGGTCATCGGAGTTGGTTAAGCTGCTCGGTGACGTCGACTTGATCCGCTCGGAGAGGAAGAAGGCTAGGGCCAACCGCAACAAGTTTGGTGGATTCGAGGGTGGCTCGCACATTGGCGGTGGCATGTCCAGCTCTAGCTCCGGCAGGTATGGCGGCTTTGGCAGTGACAGCCTCTCGTTTGGTGGGTACAGTGGAGGTGTCTACGGTGACGGTGGTGGATTCGGAGGCAACACAGGCGATTTCGGGGATTCCGGGAGACGTTCCAATCGCTTCGAGGAATATGACGAGTATGATGAGGCCGATGCTAGTCCCCCGCGCCGGCGCGGGCCCAGCCCTCCCCGTGCTAGTGCTACTCGCCAGGCCAAGCAGCCGGCCGCTCCTGCTCCTAAGGAACCCGAGCAAGACTTGTTCGACTTTGGAGAGGAGGAGACTGTCACGACATCTGTCAGCGCTTCCAAGAAGCCTGCTACAGGCAATGGCCTAGATATCCTCGACACCCAGCCTGCTGACGACGACGACTTTGACGATTTCCAATCCGCCACGCCTGCGCCTGCGCCTGCGCCGGCATCGTCAGCCCAGTTTGCCATTCCCCCGCCGGCCTCCACTGTCAGCACGACCTCCAGCACGCAGTTCGCTGCCCCCAAGCCAGTCTCGGCCACCCAGGGCTCGAACCTGAACGGCATTGTAGGCTTCACCTCGATGACCCCTACCCCGACCTCGAGCACGATGGCGTCTCCCACACTCTCTCAGAGCTCCCTGGCACAGGCCCAGAAACCCGCGCAACCCAAGCCTAGTGGCTTCCAGGCCGCCACTCCCAACTACTTCACCTCTGTTTCCACCCTCTCCAACACGACGCAGCAACCGGCTATGGGTCACCGCCCCAACATGCCCTCCACTTCCTCTTTCACCTCCACCACGCCCTCCACCTCCTCCGCAGCCAACAAGCCCGCTGCCCCCAAGGCATCCGGTGACGTCTTTGGATCTCTCTGGTCCACCGCCAGCGCCAGCGCCGGTATTCAGAAGAACAATACGGGCGGAAACAAGGGCCCTAACCTAGCCAGCATGGCCAAGCAAAAGGCCAGCGCCGGCATCTGGGGCGCTCCCGCTGCTTCAGGCAGTCCTGCATTCAACCAGAGCAGCAGCAGCGGGGCGCCGAAGACAACGGGAAGCTCTGGCCTAGACGACCTACTGGGCTAGGTCGATGATTCTTAGCTCGACCTTTACATCCTTGTCTCCTTCTTTTACCCCGCTTAGCTGAATGTTCCTTTTTTCTCTTTCCCTTTTGGCACTGTTTGAGTGACTGTGTGTGTCTATACCGTAGTACGAATATTTCTTCTCTTATTTTATTTGCTTGCGTGCAAGATCTAAAATAGCAGGCCTACCCTAACTCACGTTTTTCTTCTTTCATCTATGCTGCTATCTACCTATTGCCTCTAGCCGATTCTTCGTGTGACTACTCCCGGATATATTCCCATTCTCTGCAGATGACATGATAGCTCGGCTCCCCTATTTCCTGGTATAATATGGTATGGTACGTTACTTGATTCCTCAAGGGTACCCTTGAACCTATCCTGTACTCTCCTTTTTCTATCGAAAAGCAGAAAAGTTCTATAGGATGCAATTTAATTAGAATTGACTTAGCAATCTGATATTGTAACTTAATTATCATAATTATCTCTTATACAATCCTACCCTAGTCTCAGTATACCCTCGAATACTAACATAGATCAAATTACGTACCATCAAAACCTTCCAGTACTAGTAAGCAACAACTCAGGATGAACCTCCTCATCATACCCCTCCCCAACCCCCCTCCCCACCGCTGGCCTTCCTTCAATCCTCTCAACCCACCTCCTCAGCACCGGAAACCTACCCATCTCCTCCTCCGTAATCGTCATCCTCTTCCACGCCCTTATCCACGCATACGCATTGATATCAGCAATACTGTACTTTCCTCGTCCTTCGCCCACCAAGTACTCCCTCGCTTCACCATCACCACCAGCCAAACTATTAGATAGATGCAGTTCCAGCACGTTGTAAATCCGAAGCGTCTCGGTCTTGAATTTCTCGATGGCATCTTTCCATCCAGATCCATAAGCACATTTCACCTATATGATATATCATAGAATGAGGAATGGGAAAAGGGTAACTTACAAGAATCCACCACCCCCGCGAACCTCTTAAAATGATTCAACCCCGCCTGTTGAGGCTGCCCGGACGCAGACCAGAAGAATAACCACTGGAGAAGTTGGGATTTGTCAACCGCTGAGGAGAAAGAGAAGTGGTGGTTCGGGTCGTATGTTTCAACGAGGTAGATGAGTATTGCGGAGGATTCCATTACCGTTATTGGGGTGGAGGAGTTGTTGTTGTTGGTGTCGATGAGGAGGGGGATTTTGCCTATATTTACTCACTTATCTAGGTGACTTATAAAGAAAGAAGAGGACAACGTACCGTTAGGATTCAGCGCCAGAAACCACGGCTGCTTCTGCTCGTCCGTGTCGAGGTCGATTAGGGTTGTAGTCCATTGTAAGCCGTATTTATCGCGGAGTTCTTCCAGTAGGATTTGGACTTTTTTGCCGTTGGGGGTGCTGGTTGTTAGGAGGTGGAGGCCCTTTTATTTATAGGAGTTGTGAGGATGGTGTGTATTGAGGGAGAGTAGGAGGAGTAGGAGGGTGTGGGGGAGGGATTACCTTTGTGTTTTTGATTCTGGGTGGTGTTGTTGATGTGAATGGGCTTGTCATTGTGGTGGTTGGTGCTGGGTGTTGTAGGGTCAGTTTTCGTTCGATTGGATAGTTGAGTGTAGTGGTGGTAGTAGTAGTATTTATATGTCAATCTCACCATAGCATCATCCAATCCTTGTCCGACGGATGTCCGGATTGATCCCAGTACTAAGCATCTAGCCCTTCTTTGAATGCTAGGCATCAACTATAACCCCGGTTTGAACTAAAGAAAGCTCGGCTTAGAGGCTCCAGTCCAGATCCCTGTCATCGTAGTATAAGTTTCGGGATATGTAAATACATCCTTGATTTGAAGGGTATTCCTATTTTTTGGTTCATCAACTAAGACTATTGGTCACATTTGTGGAATTTTTGTCTAGACAGGGACATACTAGTACTACCAACAAAGTATTACTGGCATTTGGTTGAGGTGAGTTTGACTGTGGTCGTACTGTACTAATTACTTAATACATACTACGAGTTATTTGAGGACCGAAAATTAAGTAGTAGTCAACATTGCTCATCAATCACATATGTTATAGATAAAACATAACTAACGCTGTTGGAGGTATATGAATACTTCGATCACACGCTGTATGCTAGGGAATGCTTTTGTTTTCACAGAAAAGCAAGCAAGCCAGCCTACAACCATAATCTAATGCATTGACGCCATCGCTCAAGTACAGAAACATATATACAGGCACATTTGCCCTCCCCTTTCCCACATTTGAAACAGTCACCCTCATCCTCACCCTCACTCACACTCACAGTCTCTCCAAATCTCTGCCACTCCTCTCCCTCGTCATGAAATGATCATATCATGCATGCATGCATTCACAAACAGCCGTCCCGTTCAAATGGTGGTATTCCAACAATAGCAGTTCCAACCGGGGAACAACAAGAACAGTAAGGAAATATAAAAAGAAGAAATGAAAAGAAATAGGATGATGCAATCATGTCTAGGTCGAGGGTCATCGGCCCTCAGTGGAGTAACATGGACAGCAGCTATTATACTGGGTAACAGATTCGTCGGAAGATCCGTCGGAAGCTGAAATAATATGTACCTCCTTAATAGAAGATAATGTCCTAGATTGCAGGTAGAAACTAGGCCGCCTTCTTTTCAGGAAGGTCTTGCGGGGCTTCGAGCCCCTGATCTTCTGCTGGGAAATGTGACATGTTCGAATCCGTCTTGCCACCGCTAGCCAGCTGCGAAGACTCCCTCTTTGCCCCGTTGGAGACATGCTCGACGTTAACGTAGGTCGATTCCAGTGGGAGCTGTTCGTCTTGCGTGGGTGTGATAGCTTGCTGGGAATCTGTCGACTCCGGGCTCAGGTACGTGTTGTTCTCTTCGTCCGCATCAGGCTCGCCGTTCAACGACGTCAGCCCTCCCTCGATATCTCGAAGCAGACGCACAAACTCCTCTGGTACCAGCCCGCTCTCTCCAGTCTTGGGATCCTCCGCAACAAGCCAGCCCTGACCGTGCCGGTACGAGACAAAGATCACCTGCCCTTCAGTGAGAGGCAGCTCGTTCTCATGCTCTCTTGTGAAATCAAACAGTGCAACCGCTTTTCCGTGCATCTCCTCATCAGGGCACCCCACGGCAAACTGGAAGTCCCGCGAGTACCGATGATCCCCGGCATAGTCGTCTTCAGAATCAAAGTCCGCCTCATGTCCATAGGCTTGATAGTCATATGAGCCCACATGAGAATACCGGCTTTCATTCGCCGGATAGGTGACATACTCGCCGCCCGGTCCATCCTCCAAAGCGTCGTCATCGTTCACATAGTACGTCTCACTGCCGTCCGCGTTCATACTGACAAGCGTACCCCGATCGGTATCTGCCTCATAGCCTATGCCTTGATGCTCGCGGCCACCAGGGCCCCTGGCTTTCCGTCCATTAAGGTCAGTTCCGGTGGACTTGTTTTTCCGGTGACGCGGGGCGGAAAAGACTGGGCTGTGCAAGTCTTCATCCTCGCTATAAGGCGGCCCATCACCGAAAGACATTGCGGGAAGTTGCTGGTGCCCATAGCTGTGATCGGTAGTCCACGGTCCCACGGACCATTGGCCACGAGAACTATCCCACGGGGCCGGAGGATCGGACAGGCGCCGTTGCTCACTTGCTGGGGTGGACACCACCGATGCACGAGGCGGCAATGGGCCGTAGTGAAGAGGATGAATAGGAGGATACGCAAAGTCGCGAACCAGCGCATACGGTAAGCTGGAATGAAAGACAGGAAAGACGTGGGATCCCGGCCGCGACCGATTCTGAGAAGCTAAGGAAATATTAGAGTGCGTGGAGAGACGATCCTTGGCGTACGAGGAGGATCGCTGACGGCCCTGCCGCTTAACTGGGGAGTCTGTGATTATAGGAGGCAAAACCGTTAGGCTCGAGGAAGCCGTGGGCTGCGATGAGGGGGCCGAGGTTGTGGAAGCCATGATGATGGTCATGAGTCCTCAAAGGTAATGATCAGAGCGGAAGAAAGAATGATTACGTGTCGAAGATGTCGTGTGAGGTAATGTCGGGTCGGATGTTTGTCGCTTCAGAGGGGATAGAAAAGCTGGAGAACCGGTCCGCCCTAGTTTCGCATCGCGATCGTTCTTCCACGAAACTCTACTGCCAGATCCCGCCCGAAGGTTATTTCAAGGAATCTCTCGCACCAAGAATATGTATGCGAAAGCATGCGACTCAAATCGGAGGGATGTCTCGTGAGCTCCTTGCGTACAGCAGATGCAGATCTGGGACTGGGAGAACGCTGCGCGCCGAAACAAGTCTGAATCAACCGGAGAGGGCACTAGACGACCGGCGACAAATTAATGGACTGCGGCTAGACGCCAAAGAAGCGAGGTGGCCGCAATGGGATGTCTGACAGGTCCGGGTATAATCGACAGCGAACGGACAGGTACAGCGCGGCTATCGACCTCAAGAGCAGGCACCGCGGGGATCTTCGATGACGGGCAGCTGTTCCCCTCTCTCTTTCTCAGGCCAAGAAATATTAAACACAACGACGTTGACTGCACCGACCAGGCGGCTGCAGGGGTGGCAGACAAGACTTGATGAGCGACAGCCAATGCCCGGAGGAGGGAAGGTTTGCAGCGAAGCAGGTGGGAAAAAAAATAAGAGGAGGTTGTTTCGAGAGCGTTTTGGTCCCGCGCTTGGGAGTTCGGGATGGTCGAAGGCAAAACTGGGGATGCTAAAATTAGCAACGAGGGCAGGGCCAAAAAAGCGCCACTCTAAGAGGACGGCGACTACCGAACCCAATGACAAACGGGAGATAAAAAGAGGGGAGGCAGGAAGGGAGGAGATTGATTGATTGATTGATTGAATGAATATTGAGGGGGGGAAATAAGAAAGAGGGGATGAGCGCCAGGAGAGGAGGACAAGACACTCAGCTGCAGGAAGCAGGAGAAAGATGACACACAGGATAAGGGACGGTGGAGCGAGAAAGGCAGAGAGAGAGAGCGAAAGAGCGAGAGAGAGGGAATGAATGAATGGTAGGGGCGAGAGGGTGCGACAAGAGGCTTGCCAGTGCCGGAGATTACTGCTAACTTACCTGCCGTGAAGGCTCCGACTGAAGCGTTAAGGATCAACGAGGCGCAGTCACCGATGGGGTGGAGTTCAAGGATTCAGAAACCCGCTGGCATGCAGGGTCACTGTCTTTCGAGGCCGGACAGTCAGGCAATTGAGGGTTTCTCCAGGACCGAAAAAGGGAGGGGCGTAGACGCAGTTGATCGGGGTGAATAGTCCGGGGTCTTTCCTGACTCTAAACCAACATCTTCCACTCCTTCAAGCTCGTTTTCTTTTTTGTCTGGGAAGTTTGAAGATTCACCCCCTCCACGTGACCGCCCACGCGTGGCTTAGCGTGTTTCAGGTGTGGATGCCTCGGGCCATCGCCGAACGGGCCACTTGGTGCCTCAGCAGTAAGGCATAACAATGCTCCTGCTCTGCTCTGTCTCTCCACATGCCTTTCTGCCTTGCATGGCTCATTGTAGCTACTATTTACCCACTACGCCCCAGCCACTAGACGACAACCAGCCACTCTAATTATACCTATTCGTTCCGGATATAGGATGCGCATCTACTCCTCGTGGTGCTGTGGTGGATCTATTACTATTTAGTTTATCTTCCATGAACCTATCTACTATGTAGTACCCTAGGAAAAGCACAATGGACGAGATCCGGCAATTCAATTGTCTATTGATCAGAAGGGTCTAGTCAAACAAAGGTCAAAGAGTGACTGCCATCAATCCCGGCTAGGCCCGCCTACCTCGAGCGGTAGAAGAGAATGTAAAATCTAATCCGATCTCTTCGGAGGGTATACAATGCATTCCAAATCCCCAGCTATTGGGAACGCAAGGGATCCACATCCAAAGCAAGGTCTTTTCAATCAAGTGCTCCCAGCCAAGGCAGCACTGCTAGTCCAAGGTATATGTGTCGTGATGACTGTCGTCAATGTGAGAACTTTAAATGGCGCCACTGAGGTTGGTGTTGGCGTCGGAGCGGGCGTCGTCAAACTTGGCGCCGAACTGCTTCCAGCCTCCGCACCATCAGTGCTAGATCCCATCACCTCGGCAAACTCAGACGGAATGGCTGCGCTGTCGAGGGACTGGCCCTCCACATATCCCTCCTGGACGTGCGTATGAGTTGTAGGGCTATCGACCACATCTACATCAATGCAAGTGGTATAGATTTCCTGCTTGCCGTTGGGGAGTGACGGGTCCACGCCAGGAGCCGTGGGCCAATTCCAGACCCAGTAGAGCGTATACGGCTTGCCTGTCGGTGCATTCGATGGTAGCGCGATGTCCTGTTGACACCACAAGTCTGCGCCCATCAATTGGTCCGCCACGTGGGGGTACACGGCTTGACGATGTTCGGAGATATTGCCATTGTTGATCTGATAGCAACGGCCGTCATCAAAGTTTTGCTTCGACAAGAGAACGCCGCGTCGATCCCCTCCCGTACCGTCGCGATTCCAGGAATCGAAGACGTCCAGGAAGTTCTCCTCCTCCTTTGGCTCGGTAGTTCCGTAGACGTAGATTGTCCCTCGATTCTTTGGCTTTCCCGGTTGATTCCAAGGTAGAGTCACATGGCCGTTTTCTTGGTAGCGAAGAGCGATGGGGGAGCCGGCAGATGCCTGCAGCCGCGGGCTACCCTCGGTTTGGTTTCGTGTTCGCTGCGTGCTCTTGCACATCTTGTCGGTGGGAAGAATCAGACTTTGGTTGGCTCGATCATTTGGTGGAATCAGATAAGTCATGGTCGTGTCGCTGAACCCGGGAGTAGTGCGATGAACATTGCCTCGAGCGTAGCCTGGAGATCCGATAAAAGTTCCATTCGCCGCGATGGCAAGCAGCTGTTCGATCCACGAATGTGCGTTTGCCGTCGAGAAGAGGAGGGCCAGCAAGAGCAACCTCAGAGCGCTGCTGCGAGGTTGGCTTGTGAGCCCCATCTTATATAGCCACTGTATGTTTTCTTTGAATTGCAAATCAAGATACACAGTATCTTTACTCGGATAGTGCACCAACCAGTGGTGTCTATAGAGGTGGCAGTCTGTTTGTATTAAATTAGTATTTAGAAGAAGGGTGACCGGGGCAATATATTGAGTGAGCAAGGATACGCACAAACTATATACTCATGCCCAAGAACACTTCTAAGCTTTCCTATTCGATACTCTGTGTTATCTGAATACCTCAATAGTCGGAACGACAACAATAGGAAGGACAAAGAAGATTTTGGCAAACAAAGCGATTGTCTGGTCACAAAAGGCAGAGACTCAGCAAATTGACAATAGGACGAACCCACAATAAGTATTCATCTGAATGTCCCGCTCTCCATCTTTATCTTCTTCTCTATAGCCCGAGTTTGCTCGCAGCCCGAAAGAAAACATATGGGGATCGACGACAATGCCCAATGTGATCAGGTCATTTGAAACACGCCCATCCTGGCAAGTGAATAAACCAGCGCCAAGAGAGATTATTCTTTGCAAGCGCTAAGGATGATGCCAGAAACGATTGGAACCCATCGTTATGGTCTATTCATAGCCAATGGATCGCCAGTCTCGTCCTACCAAGCTTTTCTGGTTCCCGATATGTTACAGATAAAGATCTTGAGTCATTGGTAGTAGCTGCTGGATTGAGCCGTACGACAACGCTGATTGAGTCAAATGTGCATAGCAAAGTACCCTGGGCATCAGAATCCGAAATTAGCAACAGCGCTTAATCTGGTTGGAAGCAAGATCTCATGACAGAAAGTGTGTTATAGACGATCTCCCGTGTTGCAGATGTGAAGACGTTGAAGACCATCGAGGGCGCTAATTGGCTTGGGTGTGCTCAGTAGCGCTCCGTCGTGCAGAACTAATACAGGTGACACACGAGGCACATGTGTGTTTGATTTTGCTCTATGACTTACATCAAGGCTTCAGAATTCTCTGTCGCTCACCGCGCAGACATCTGCTGATATTGGGTGTAGAGGCGCCGTGATGGGGGTTGCTGAAACACGGGCGCCCCGCTTTCTCTAGCCTAAAGCGCGCTGACAAGACTTCATTCCCAGACAAGCTAAATAGGTGGTCAGTCAGTACTACCAATTCAGACGGTCCTGGAATAATGAAGATGCATCAGAACAGAGCAGAAATCTATAATGTGATCTGTCAGACATCAAGCTTTCCGTCAGCCTTTCTAGTGCCTGTCGCATGCCATGCATGAGATGGGTGACAGTTCTTCTCGGGTAACTACCACATTCTATTTAACCACATTATTCAGTGACACATCCACAATGGCCATTGCAGCTTCTCAGCGGCCTTGTCCGTTAGCAGACTCAGCCCAAGAAAAGAGCTGAACTTGTCGCACCTGAATGTTTCTTCCACGCTCATTTTGCCCTTCCTTGGCGACTACGCGATCCCCACCGTCCCCATTGCTGAATCAAGTAAAATTCAGCGTCTCCGACCGTCGACGGTCCCATCAGTACCAATCATATCCATATTCTGGCAACCTCTAAGCCCGCGAGCGTTGTCCGACTACGCAGAAGCCATCAAACAAAATACGACAGACAAATTCAATGCCGTAATGTGATTTACACATTGAGGCAGTTCCAAACCTTCGTGTGCTCTCTGTGATATCACTCTGATCGCACTGGGTTGCGTACGCGCTTTGGCCCGCAAGCGAAATCTGGTTTTTCTTTTGGCTTTCCGAGATCTGCTGGTCGCTCGGTAGGGATACTGGTTTACAAAGTACGTTCAGGTCTCATGGGCCAGCAACTTGTCAAGATTTGGACACCAGAGCTTCCGCTCATCCGTCGGTATACACACTAAAATCAGAAACATAACTCGAAGCGAAGCAGCAACGACCGGGATGGAACCCTTTTGTGGCAGAGATGAAAAGATTGATTAGATGAAAACAGGTGGGTATCGTGCGTTATCTCCGATGAATCACGACTCTTCAGTGGCCATGGTGTCCTTGTCCCGGTGTCCACCGTCCCACCTACCCCCGAAAGGATGAGGGAATATTCAGGACCTTGGGCTGCAGCTTGGAGTCCGATGTGGATGCAGCTTCAACCCAGATTGGACACTATGATAGAACTGGTGATGGTAACTTTACTTTAGATTACCTAACGCATTCAAGGCCGTTACGCCTTGCATGTCAAATACAAACTGCGTACAAAGCAGAAAGATGTGCTTTTCTTCACAGAGTCATGCTGTGATGAGCACGGTAGTCTCCGGGTGTTGATGGTTTTCTTTTTTTGATTATAGAGATTCGTCCATTGATGATTTGTTTGCGACCTGCAGTCATACGAGACAGTCTTTTTCACCGAAGAGCGTGGCTAACGGTGCCTATGCGATAATTCAGATGTAATGACGGTGCTATAACGGGTAGTACATGTTTCGAGACCCCATTAAAAGAGCAGGAAATCCTGTAGGTCCCTTGCTTTTGAGCAGACTCCTAGAATATGATTCAAAAGAAGCGGTCTACTGAAGACTTGGATGATACTGCCGAGTCAGTCCAATCCCATCTGAAGCAAGGTTGATAACAGATAACAGAGTGCTTTGATAACGTTCTGGCATGCCACCGAAGAAAACTCCGTCTGAGTTAGTCCGCAAAACATCTAGATGACTTGGGACACTAGTAAGGTAGACCCTGTCACGATGTAGTAGGTGTACCAATCGCGCTGCTTGCCGGAGGGCTGAAGTTTCTGTTTGCCCGTCTTGGTTTGCCCGGACTTCAGGGGGTAGTGCCGGGAATTATGTAGATGGTGACACTAGACACATTTGGAATCCTGCGTACAACGTAATCTGCGATCTGGTTTGACGAAGGTTTGTGTCACTTGATTGAATCTGAGCTGAGGGTGGCGGCGGTAGTTTCAATACAGCTCAGATCATCCCAAGTGGTATGAAGGTGGTTATTTGGAGTGGGTGGATGGGTGGCCTGAGGCTGGCAGCTTCCCGATAAGCGGAGTACGGTCAGGTTGGTAAAAGTACGGATTGGCTGGTAAGGGAATAATACCCACCAGCCAAAAGAACAATGGTACCGTTTCCAGGCTACTAAAACCATCCCAAGAAATTCCCGTTTGGGCTGGTCCGGTCCTCGCTACCTCGACTCTGCTTCCTATTTGAATTCTTTATTGTCGGCCGCTCCCCCTCCTCTCTCTCCACTCATTTCCCTTCTTCTTCCTCTTCTTCTTCTTCTTTCATTATTCTTCTCCCCAAGGTCTGATCGACGGCGTAAAGAGTCGATCCTAGGGACCTGCATAAATTCTGCCTTACTTACCAGGATTGTTGGGAACCTGCTACCGACACTACCCACGGACTATCAGCGGACCGCATATCCGCGCTTGCCTTTAATTGGTCGCGCTCTTTGGGCGGTCTTGTGGTTCAAGCGGCGAAATTCACGGATTTACGATAATCCCACCGCCTGTGTGCCACGCCGTGGAAGTGCTTCCACATTTCGTTCCTCAGGGGCAGGAATCGACCTGGAAATCCTTAAAGGGGTGTATTCAGTCAGAAGCCGTTGCTGGGAACTTGGCTCCAAGGCATAGCAAGAAGACGCGCGACATCTTCTCCGCTGCCAGGTAGGTTTCTTCCCGCGCTTCCCTCTCCTTTCGCCCCCGTCGGCATTCCAACGGTCTGATGTACTGATCGCACGCCTGCTATCATCCCTGCAGTCCCGATAAGCAACAGCTGGGTTATCGCTTTCGCCTCATGCCATTGACATTGGAGGAGGTACCCATAAGGTTCTGATACCTAGGAGAGTCTTCCGTGTGAAGCGTGGGACGGTGCACGCCTGTCGTTTTTTTTTTTTCCCTCGCAGGGTTTCACCGCGTTCACCCACCGTTCTCTCAGAGCGCTTTCCCCCCTCTAAGGCGTGTGGTCTACACCGCTCCTTTCGTTCGAATTTCTCGTCTGTCGACAACAATCATGGCCGCGACTTTGATCCCCAGGAAGTTCCGGTCTACGGACGAGGAGGACGATGCTGAGCCTGGATGGCTCAAGCGTCAAGTCACTAGTGGCTTGCAATTCCTTTCTCGCCGTGCCTGTCTTCATCCGATTCACACGATCGTCATTTTCGCCCTTCTTGCCAGCACTACCTACGTTGGTCTCCTAGAAGGTAGTTTATTCGACTCTTTCAGAAACCCTAGGAATGTTGCCGGCCAAGTGGATGTGGACACCCTTCTTCAGGGTAGTAGAAACCTACGTCTCGGGGAGAGTACCTCCTGGAAATGGCAGGTGGAAGACACTCTGACTGCCCAAGATTATAATGTAAGTCGGAAACTGGTCTATTAATTTCAGACATCTGATCAATGTTCCTTTTCTAACAACTGTCTTTCAAGCAGACTGCTCAACATATGGCATTGACGACCTTTATTTTCCCGGATTCCCTGTCGAAGTCAGCTTCCACCGGTCCTCTTGCCGATGGTGTCCCGATCCCTGCCAATACCTCCGCACAACGGGTGCCTCACACGCCCAATCTCTTCTCGCCTTTCTCCCATGACGCGTCTCTCGTGTTCACACTTCCTTTCGAACAGGTCTCTCAGTTTCTGAAGGCTGTCCAGGAGATTCCCGAACCCTCTGTCGACGAGGATGAAGGAGAGCAGAAGAAATGGATTATGCGGGCTGCTCGCGGTCCGGCTTACGGATCCAGCGGAGCTCTCAAGCTCTGGCTGGCAGACGCATGGGGTTCCTTCGTGGATTTGGTCAAGGTCCTTATGCCCTTTAG